CCCGCTCCCAGTCCAGTTAGGCCCAATTCTGAGCCTAGCCCAAGACTATGGGCCATCTGTTTCGAAGCCTAGCCCAACTCGTCAACCTGCTCAACACCCACTCAAGGCTTGGTTTGAGGCTTGGTTTGCCTGGCCCATTCGAGGCCCAATGTTATTTTTGGTGAAAAGAAATAATTTTTTGGTGAAAAAATAATTAAAAAAATAAAAAAAAATAGTCAGGCTTGCCTAGCCCGGCCTGAATTTTGAAGGGAGCCTACACAATCTGACAGTCGGCGGGGTCAGGCCTACGTAAGGTAGACCGGGCCAAATTTACATCCCTAATTAGGTGTTCTAGCTAGGGAGGGATATGCAAAATACTGCATAATCCGCTAAAATCGTACGGATCCGTATCAATCCACATTGCTCTATTTGTCAATTACAAATTAAATTTTAAAATTTATAATCCACCTTCCAAACGGGCTCCGTTATAATTGATACAAATATATATTTTTAATATCCAATGAAATATCAAAGTAAAAATGAGTATAAGAGAGATTTAAGATGTAAAATTTGTTACAAATTAGTAGTTATATATATGAAACATACTATGGGTTCGTTTGGGATGTAGGTTGGCTTTTTGACTATTTTAACTTGAGGCTAAAAAGTCTCGTTTGTGATAGGCTTTTTGACTTTTTTGACTTTTGTAAAAGAAAAAATGAAATGATTATGGGTTGGATGTGATATTTTATTCTATTTAACTAGAATAATCTATTTTGTCCTATATGACTATTTTAGCCCAAACACTCATCCCAAACGGGGCCTATGTAAAATTACTTTGTATTAATATTATACAAATTTGTGTTATATTTTTTTTTTTTTGATCGGCACAAATTTGTGTTATATATTATGCAAATGTTTGATAATTAGTTAGAATATTCTTTAATCTCCCAATCCGTCCAAAATCATCCAAATCACAATTTGCCAATACCAAATCCACTAATCCATTATTCGATTTGTAATTTTACTCTCAAACTATCAGAACTACACCTCGCACACCCGTAATTCTAGCTATCTCAAAGACAACCAAAGGTTATTTGATAATTTTAAAACATTATTCCACATCATTCATCACATAACAAATATCAAATTGTGTGCTAAGAATCAATATAAAAATATTGAATCTTATTGTTTTAACTTTAAAAAAAAATAAAATTAAAACACTACATAGATTTCCTCCAAAATCACCCTATGATTTTCCGTCAAAGACACCATTTTTCTTTTTGTTTCTAGTCTCCCAAACGATTGATCTTTGCCCATTGTAGTTGGAAGTGTAAGTTAAAGCTGTGCTTTCCTCTCTTTCTTTGCATGTTTGCTTTCTTTAACTTTGGTACTCGTGATTTCCCAAACACCAAGCAAAAACTGTGATTGGGCCATCACGCTCTCAAACGGGCCTAAAAGTTGGTGAAAAACTTTAATTATTTATTCATAATTTTTCTTTTAAAAATATATTTTTTTGTATTAAATTTAAATTTAGGTGTAATTTAACAAAAAAAAAAAATGTAATTGTTTTGCTTTTATGCTTCTTTAGAATTCTAATAAATTGATATATAATATTCGTCTTATTTGATAGATTTTGTCATGTAGATTTTAAATATATAAATTTTATTAAAAACAAACATATATATTAAAATTTTTAATATTTTAAAATTTTTAATATCAAATATATAAATAAATAAATTAAATAAAATGCCACATCAACAATGTGTGGAGTAGATGTGTGGAGTAGAAGTGCATGCACAGCTTTTACTCAAAATTCACATACGTGTTGGGTTAAATTTTTGTAATAAATATTTAGGTCAAGTTTGGCATATTACAAAAAAGTTAAAAAGTTAAAAAGCTATTCAAAAAGTTAAAAGGTTAATATTATTCACCAAAAGTCAATAATTACGACTGCACAACTTTGAATCCTAATTTTTCCTTACAAATCAATTTTTACAATTTTTTATTACACATTTTTCTATAAAAAGTCAAAAAGTTAACCCAAACATCCATATTTTCTTCCTGAATTTTTTAGTCTAAAAAGACAAAAAGTGCACTTATTTAGGACACTCCAAACAACCCCTTAGTCTCAAATAAATATACAAATGAGACTTTTTAAATGTACCTATCCAAAAAATAATAATAAGAATAATAATAATAAATTCCCATAGATATTTTGAATAATAATCTATTATGAGACTTTATTATTATTATTAATTTCCATAGAAAATTAATTTTTTTATCTACTTTTTTCCACATTTTTTTATGAAAAATAAAAATATTAAATTCCCAAAATAACACTTAAACTTATTATAAAATAAAAGAAGATGATATATAAACCCACTTTCTAGATTCATTTTTTAGATTTAATGATATACAAGTGATATGATTAGTTGATAATTAAAGAAAATATGTGAAAAAATATTACCTTTATATCCTTATTGATGGTCATATCATTACGCTTAAAAATTGAATATAATTTTTAAATTATATAACAATACTTAAAATAAAATAGTAAAAATTGATGTGGATAATAACATTTACTTATGTTAGAGCATCTCCAACCATTGTTGCTATAATTTCATTGCTATTGCTGTAATTTGGCAATGAATAGTGCTATTTTGCCAAATTATAGCAATGGTGCTTCAATGGTCATTTGTTATTTTGGCAAATCTCAACCAACTTTGCCTCCAAATTTGTAGGTGTTGTTTGGATATAGATTTTTTTGTGATTTTTTTTTGTTTATTTTTTGTCTTTTGTGACATTTTTTTAACCTGTTTGTAAAAAAAAATTATATTTATATTATTCCCAACTAGACAAATATAAAAAATGAAAAAAAATTGAAAAATTGGAAGAAAAAAAAAACTAAATATAATTCACCCCACCAAAAAACATATCACTACATATTTAATAAAAAATTTTAATTACACATAAAAAATAAACAATCATCAATTACCCACCAACAATCATCTATCATTCACCCATTAACAACCAACCACCAGCAATCATCCATTATTAACCCAGCATTCATTCACCAATAACTACCCATCCAACAATCATTCATTATATCAACTTGAGATATCCCATTTGGGTGAAGATTTTCGACTTGCTCTAAACACCTCTGAAATTTGTTACAACATTTCATGATTATACCCCATCGAGATTGAATAGACACTTGTGTTCTTAACTGATCATTCTGAAGCAAGCAATAATTTTTATAAATTCTCCCAAAAAAGTGAGCATATGATTGTAAATTGGCAACAATTGGGTCTTTCGAAATGTGAAACCAAGATTTACAAATTATCATATCTTCTTCAATGGTGAATAATTTTTCTCTCTTTGTTTTTGGTGAACCTTCTATAGTGATTAGATGAAAAAACCAAAAAGAAAATAATTTTAGAGATTTGCTATGAAATCAAATTCAGAGAAGAGAGGAAAAAAGAAAATTTAAATCCAAATGTTTGCTATGAAATAAAATTGACATAGAGGGTTTCAATTTATAGAAATTCAAAATATTACCGTTTAGGAGAAATAGCCGTTTGAAGATAGCTATTGTAAAAAAAATTAATGTTTTTGTGATGTTTTGTTTTTTTGCTTTTTGTTTTTTGTTTTTGTTTTTTTTTTAAAAAACCAAACAGAGCACAACGACACTTTTTATATAGAAAGAGAGCATCTCCACTGTCTACATATAAAACTTCAATGGTTGAAATGATTTCTCTAGAATTATCCAACCTCCCTTCGATTGATATGCACCGTCTTCCTCTCCCTCTCACTCTGTCTTCCCTCTCCTCAAACCACTATCTCTTCTCCTCCTCCATGATCGACACCTCTCGCTCTGTTTTCACTCTGTTTTCCTTCTCTCTCTGCTTTCACTCTTCCTCTCCCTCTCTCTGTCTTCCCTCTTCTCAAACGAGTCCTTTCTCCTCCTCCATAGTCGAAACGTCTCTCTCTCTCTCTCTACCTATGAAGTTGTTTTCACTCTCCCTCTCACTCTCTCACTCTCTTCCATCATCCAAACGTCTCTCTCTGTCTGTGTCTCTGTCCTTGAGCTCAAGTCTTCACCGATCTCTCTATTTTTCGATCTGTCTACTCTCTCTCTCTCTCGCTCTATCCTTGGTTCCAAGTTTTCACCTCCACACAATCGCCCTCTATTTCCTCTCTCTCTCTAGAGTACGATCTCTATCTATATACATACTCATATATATATATGTGCTTTGATTTTTTGTTTATTTTTCTAGTTTTTTATGTGGATTTGAGGTGATCATGATTTTTGAAACTCCATTCTCGCGATGGCTTGAAATTGGATCTTCAAAGAACTCAAGCATCTCTAGAAGGATCTACAAATAACACAATCTGGTATGTTTGTTAAAAAAAATTTAATTATTTATTTTGATTTTTGGTTTAATTTTTGTTCATCCATTTATTTTATTTTGATCTTCAATTTGATTGAAGTCTATTTTGGTTTGGTTTATTGTGATCATATCTATCTGATTTGGTTTGGTTTATTGTAATAATAATATCCATCTTATTTGGATCAACTGATTTGGTGATAAATGATTAAAAAAATAAAAAATTAAGAGAAACAAAATTTGGGTTTGTCAAATTTATTTTGAAATTTGTTAATTTGGCAACAAAGTTGGAAATTGGGTTTGATTCTCATATTTGGGTTTGATTCTGAATTTTTTTGGCTTCCCTACTGTTTCAATTCTGTTTTTATCAACTGAATTTGGTGCTAAAAATCTGTTGATATTTACTGATCTGGCTAGTTTGGCAACTGCTATTCAACCTGTCAAATTTAAAAAACAGATATAACTTTTACTATCTTTGACAAATAAAATAACAAGCCATTGGAAAACCCTCCTTTTGTCATTCTTATCAAATTTAACTTTAACAATTACGAGTGATTCTCTTTTTTTTGACTCACATGTCCATTCATCCATCTCTCTATATATACACACACCATCAACTTGTAAAGCATATGGGTGTGCCCAAAAACCTGCTCTTCCAAATCACTATCCACAACCCATTACATACTCGCCTCTCTGTCCTCACATCACCCAATTGTGTTCTATAGCCATGGAGAACTCATCTTCTTCTTCTCCCCCTCCTCTACCTCATCATCAACTCCTCTCCACCCTCCTCATCTCCGCTGTCCCCCTCTTACTTTTCATCATTGTTATCACCCGATCACGTCGAAAACTCCCATACCCGCCGGGCCCGAAAGGGTTTCCGGTGATCGGAAACATGTTGATGATGGATCAGCTGACTCACCGGGGACTAGCCCGACTCGCCGAGCAATACGGTGGACTATTCCACCTCAAAATGGGCAGCCTACACATGGTGGCGATTTCATCACCGGAGATAGCCCGTGATGTCCTTCAAGCCCAGGACAGCGTGTTCTCGAACCGTCCGGCCACCACGGCTATCGCCTACCTGACCTATGACCGGGCCGACATGGCCTTCGCTCAATACGGTCCGTTTTGGCGCCAAACGCGAAAGATTTGTGTCATGAAGGTAATTGTTAAAAAAATATTTTGTAAAAATACAAATTTTTTTCAATCATGGTTTTAAATTGATGTGTTGGTGTTGGTAAAAATTTAATTTAAGCCTAGTGGATGATGATTTGATCCACATATTTAAATCAATTTTTAAGTAAACACAAATAAAAATTAAGTTTTGTAGTTGAGTTCCATATCTTAAATAGATTAAGGACTTCTCTGAAGGTAATTAGGCAAAAAGAAAAAATAGAACAAAAAAGAATATGTATTATTTTGAATGAATTGTTACTTGTCACTAGTTAAAAGAATTTAAACAAGAATAAAAAAAAATTGAATAAATACAGCAATTGACAAAAAGAAAAGAAGTGGGGGGTCTAGAGAAAACTATCACTAATCTACTTATTCCTAATAATGCTAAGTTAAACTATTCCTAGATAAATATCACGTGTTGTGAATGAGGTTTGAGATGTCCCTTTTTTCATTCTTCAAGTTCTCCTTTTATACTTGCAATCACCTTATGTTGTAGCTATCAATTTATGATTTTTCTTGATTTTTGCTCCACTCAACCATGTCCCATTTTCATAGAAACTACTTGCAAATTTTGTGCTTTGACTTAGGCCTCGTTTGGAAACTAGCTTATTTAGTCAAAAAGTTATTAAAAAAGTTAAAAAACCAACAACCGATACCAAAAAGTCAAAAATTCTCTTTTCTATCTACTTTTTGCACATCTTTTTGTAAAAAGTCAAAAAGTCATCCCAAACATACTAGTTTTTTTTAACTCATATTTTAGCCAAATAGTTACTAAATTAACATGTTCCCAAACGACACTTCAGTCTTGGCTCCTTGATCTTAACAACTACTTTTGAAATGGTTACATTAACTAATTTTCGGACCTTTCATTTAACATGTCATCATGCCACATTATGTTACGGCTTTAACATATCTGTCATACCACGTTAACATGCCAAATAATAACAACAAATGTGGCCAATGTTATTATTTAAAAATAGTCTATGATTTCAATCGACAGACTGTAACCAAATTTGATCTTAATTAATAGGTCACAATTGATAGAAAAATAAAATGTGGAATAAAATTTATGAGTCGTAGTATTACTGTTTCATTATAAATTTTCTAACAGGTTTTCAGTCGGAAACGGGCTGAGTCATGGGCATCGGTACGCGAAGAGGTCGATTTACTGATAGGAAACATCGCGACCAAAGTAGGATCGCCGATTAATGTAGGCGAGGCAGTGTTTTGTTTGACGAAAAACATAATATATAGAGCGGCGTTTGGGACGATAACTGACGAAGGACAAGAAGAGTTTGTGAAAATTTTGCAGGAGTTTTCGAAACTGTTTGCAGCTTTCAACATCGCCGATTTTTTCCCATCGATGGGTTGGATTCATGGGAAGGAGCTCAATAATCGGCTTGAGAAAGCTCGCAGATCGCTTGATGGGTTTATCGATAAGATTATTGATGAGCATGTTGAGAAGAAGAAGAGAGATTGTGAGAATGATGATGATGGTGAAGTGGAGACTGATATGGTGGATGAGTTGATGGCTTTTTACAGTGAAGATGGTAGGAAAGAAGATGGGGATGAGTTGAAGATCACCAAAGATAACATCAAAGCTCTTATTATGGTAAGTAATTCAAAACTAAATAAGTAGTCATTAAAAAGAATTGCATTGAAATCACATGCTTCTCACAAATGTTTGTATTTATAGATGTAAATATTTTTGAGAGATTGGTGATTTTGATTACAGCAATGTTAGGTATCATGAAAAATCTTTCATGAAAATAGTGAAAGATTTGTGACCTTTGGATTACACTTACAATAAAACACCACACACAAATCAAGATAATCTAAGAGTCACAAATTTTTTATGATCCTTTTCATGACAAAATTTTCATGATCTCTAACATTTCTCTTTTGATTATGAAATATTTTGGTGATGGTAGGAATGCTTAATTAAAAAACCCATAAAATCTCATATTCCTAACAATTTCTCAATTATACGATTTTGTTTTGATATTTTCACTTCATTATAAATTGATAGTATATTAATTTTCAGAGTAGATTTGGTACCATTGTGATTCTATTTTGTTTTGGTTTTGAAGATTTGAAAATTTGTTGAATTACCTAGGGCATCGCGACACATACCAATTCAATTGCCACCTTTCATATTGTTTTCTGAAAGGTAAATTTAGGGCTAGTTTGGCATATATTAAATAAGTCAAAAAGTCAAAAAGTCACTATCTTATTTAAGTCACATCTTATTTTTAATCAATAATTAAAAAAAAACCGGTAAATTTCAACATCTCATGTGAGTGCACACACATGGACCAAGACCACCTAATAACTGCATCTACGATTTAGATTGTGTTTGGTTTCATTTTCAAATCAATTTTTAAAATATATATTTTTTTAAATTGTTTGATTTACAATTTTATCAAATTCATTCTAAAAATTATTTTCTCTCTCTTATCTTCTTCTCTCACTTTTGGCTTTGAAGATTTGAAAAATTATTGAATTACCTTGGGCATTGCGACATACCAATTGCCACCTTTCATATTGTTTTCTGAAAGGTAAATTTAGGGCTAGTTTGGCATATATTAAATAAGTCAAAAAGTCAAAAAGTCACTATCTTATTTAAGTCACATCATCTTATTTAAATCACATCACCTCTCTAACACATCACATCAAACCCAACCCAAACCCAACCCAAACCCACCAATAAGTCAAAAAGTGCACTTTTTTAGGACATCTCAAACCAACCCTAGTTAAAATCCTTCTATTGAATTTTTATTTGGTAAAAAAGACAGCTTAATTTATTATGTTTCATTAATTTTTTAAGAAAAAAATACATAATTGAATAAAGATAAAGCAATATATATATATATATATTTTAGATAATATTACTCCCTCCGTCCCAAAATAATGGTCCCTTTTGGGGAATCTAACTTTTTTTGGTAGTACAATTATTGCATTTGAAAAAAGTTGATTTTCTAAAATTATCCTTTTGATAGTACATTTTTTGGGAATATCAATGCATAATTGTACTTTTTATGTTGTTTATTAATTTAAAAGAAGGGTAAAATAGGAAAATTATATTATTTTTGTACTTGATTTTTGAAGAGGGACTAATATTTTGGGACAATGAAAAATGGAATAAGGGACTAATATTTTGGGACAGAGGGAGTACCAGAGTAACATTTTATTATGCGAACTAGAGTAACATGTTACTATGAGACAGAGTAACATGTTACTGTTTATATTAATTTCGAAGGTAATAATATATTTTTTTTCCAATCCTTTCCATTTTATTCCTATACTAACTTCCATAAAAAAAATGTAACTGAATTTGTCACATCACTAACACATCAACTGTGATGTAAAAAAATCACTAAAGATGTAAAAAATAAAAAACAAAATTAGAATGTTTTTTAGTCTTTAATGAACTTTTTTTTAAAAAATTTATTCATAAACATTATTACATTATAGATGCATCTAAATTAAATGCAGCTAAAAAAATAAAAACAAATTTAACTAAAAAAAAGAAAAGTTCACTAAAAACGAAAAAAAATGATAGTAATTTTTTCATTTTAAAATTGACAATACAAGTATTTGAGCAATTATATTTTTATTTTTATTTTCGTCTTTAGTAAAAATAAAAAATAAAATTTAGTTAAATTTGTTTTTATTTTTTTGGTTGCATCAAATCTAGAATTTTATTTTGTTTCATAAATTTGCTTTTTTAGTTAAATTCTAATCAAAAAATTTTATTCTTAAGCATAAAAAGAGCGAAATTTACATTAATATATATTATAGAGAAAGAGGCTGTAAAAATAAAAATAATTATAATTTTTTTCATAAATTTATGATAATTTGAAAAAATTAATCTTTAATTGTTGTAATTTTTTTATTTTATACTCCCTCCGTCCCATAATATTAGTCCCTTATTCCATTTTTCATTGTCCTAAAATATTTGTCCCTCTTCAAAAATCAAGTACAAAAATAATATAAATTTCCCATTTTATCCTTCTTTTAAATTCATAAATAATATAAAAAGTACAATTATGACATTGATATTGCCAAAAAGGTGTACTATCAAAGGGTAATTTTGGAAAACCAACTTTTTAAAAGTACAATAATTGTATTATCAAAAAAAGTTGGATTCTCCAAAAGGGACCATTAATTTGGGACGGAGGGAGTATATAAATAGAATTTACAATTGCATGATATTTTATAGGACGTGATGTTTGGCGGCACTGAAACAGTCGCATCGGCGATCGAATGGTCAATGGCGGAGCTAATGAAGAATCGGGAAGATCTAAAGAAGGTCCAACAAGAACTCGCCGATGTAGTAGGCTTAGATCGGAAAGTCAACGAGTCTGACCTCGAAAACCTTCCTTACTTCAAATCCGTAATCAAAGAAACCCTCCGCCTCCACCCTCCCATCCCCCTCCTCCTCCACGAGACCTCCGTCGACGCCGCCGTCGCCGGATTCCGAATTCCTGCCAAGTCCCGAGTAATGATCAACGCGTGGGCGATTAATCGCGATAAGGATTCATGGGTCGACCCGGACTCTTTCAAGCCTTCGAGGTTTCTCAATGGTGGGGCTCCGGATTTCAAAGGAAGTAACTTCGAGTTCTTGCCATTCGGGTCGGGTCGGAGATCGTGTCCGGGTATGCAACTCGGACTCTATGCAATGGAGCTCGCAGTGGCCCATCTCTGCCATTGCTACTCTTGGGAGTTGCCTGACGGAATGAAGCCTAGCGAGCTTGATATGAATGACGTGTTCGGACTCACTGCGCCGAGAGCGATTCAACTCGTCGCGGTGCCCAGTCATCGGTTGCTTGGTTCACTTGCTTGAAAGAGGAGAGAGAATTGGATTATTATTATTATAGTATAGAGAATAATTTGGATGGCACCGTTTGGATGGTTCCTAATTAAAAGAAAAATGACTTGGACTCCCGGCTGGGGTGCTGGGGGTCGCCCATGATTGGGCAAAAAAAATAATTTTTTTTTTTTTTTTAAGTTCCCGGTCAATCCCAGGCCGACACGTGGCACTGGGGGGTCGGTAGGGGTCGTACTGGGAGTCTGTAGCATTGTTATAATTAAAAATAGTGAATAATTGATAGTCGTGTACTTACCTCCAAACGGTGCCTAATGTGTTTTATTTTATTTTGTGTGGATAGTGATGATTTGTTATGCTTTCTTTCTTTCTTTTTGGGGTCGGTAGGGGTCATCCGTACTGGGAGTCTGTAGCATTGTTATAATTAAAAATAGTGAATAATTGATAGTCGTGTACTTACCTCCAAACGGTGCCTAATGTGTTTTATTTTATTTTGTGTGGATAGTGATGATTTGTTATGCTTTCTTTCTTTCTTTTTTTCCTTTTATTTTATGAACTTATGGACATGAAAACATCTACAATGAAATGGTGTCCAAACTTTCATATTTTTTTTTTTTTCTAAGGAATGCAAAAGTTAAAATTTGATATTGCATTTTCGAAATCATATTATTTAATAGTGTCTTCTCGTTGTCAAATTATAACAGATCATATCTAAATTATATTTGTGTGTAGAGATTTATTAAATAAGATTAATATTATATATGTATATATATAAATTAAAAAAAATTCGTAACTATTGTTGTTGAGGGTTCTTTTAGCTAGCAACTCTTGTGTGCCTAATTGAAAAAATATTTGCAATTGTATAACTGAAAATTTTCTCTACTTTCGTGTGCAACTAAACAAATTTTCTAAGTCATTGTGTGTGATTGCAAAATTTCTCATTTTTTCTTCAATGGAATTTCTCTATTTTTTTCTTCAAATTTTTATATTGAATATCAATCTTATTTGATCTCCACGAATAGGTTCTAAAAACATATAAATTTCGTGAAAAATTAATTTATAGAATAAAAACTATCAAATTTTAAAATTTGAATAATATACTGTCCCCAAGTTGTTTATGTGCATGTTCAAATTTTAATGATATATGGGTATTTGGGTATTTCAGTAAAGTGATGATGAATGAGACTTAATGGATTAACAAACAAAATTTAAAAAGATTTGATCTTGTAATATTGTAAATTAGGGGACCTATCAAAAATCAATACTTAATTAAAATCCATCTTTTACAATACAAATGAAATGGTTTGTTGAAAATATATAAATAAAACATAGGACTATATTTTTTGGCATTGTAGGTATGGTACTACGAATCTATGATGATTAAGGACTTGGAAATTGGTTAATTTTTGGATGTGGGTGTTAGGTGGAGGTGTGGAAGCTTCTATGACCTCTTCCAACATAATGGTCCTGTTTGGTAGAATTGTGGGAAAGTACTTATAGCTTATGTCTAAACAGCTTATAGTTTATAACTATGAACATAAATTAATTCCTGACTTATAAATTAAACATCTCCTGCCCCACTCAAAGAATAAGTTGATTTCTGATTTCTAAAAAGCTATAAGCTAAACCAAACACATCAAAATAACTTAAATTAAACTGAAAGCTGAAATAAGCAGCTTTTAAGCTGCACCAAACAGGCACAATAAGTACATGTTATGACATGAATTTAACTAGATATGGCATAGCTCATGATCAACCAATTAGAGGTGACAATGAGAATTGAAAATTGGAACACTTTCAAATGAATACAAAAATCACTCTTTCAAATTGCCTCGCCAACCAGAGTGAAATGACATTTTTTTGTTAGATGGCAGTGAAATGACATGTTTTAACTCTTATGTTGTAGTTTAGGTTGGCTCACCAACCAAAATATTTTGCCTCCTAAAAAAAATGTGATCCCATATTATAACAGAATTAGTAATGTCGTAATGATTAAAATTGTTATTTATCAAATGTTGTATTATCACTGTGTTAGTATAATGAATTTACACTTTTCGTGTATTATACTAATGCAAAGACGTCAAGTAAAGTAATTTTTATTTTCTTTTTTTTTGAGTACATAAAAATACAAATAAAAAAGGAGTAGGTATGAAAAGAAAACATGATAGTGAGAGGCTGAAATAAAATCTCCAAATTGAAACAAGGATGGTGTTTTACAATTTAATGCGCAGGCAGACGACGAGAGATTTAACCAATTGGATTTTACTTGTCAATAGTTGTAAAACTCAAAGATGCTACATAGTTAATGTCGAAATTATTAAATATATTCCTTCTAAATCATGAGAAGATCGATTGTAAATAAAATTAGCAAGTGTAGCATATCAAAAAATAATAATAATAATAATTTCTATGAGCATCAGTTGAAAATTAACTAATGTAAGTCCTTCCCCAGGCAGGCATCTGTGTCGTATCTTACAAAATTGATAATTTTTTATTTATTTATTTTAAAAATAGGTAAGAATTAATGAACGAAACAAATATGTCAACAGTAATCACAATTGGATGGTTTTGGAAGGACCTAACTCTTCCTTTGGTATGTTGCTTTTAATTTCATCTCACTATTTTTGAGTTTCTGTATACCATCACATGTTAGGTTTCAGTCAAACAAAAATTACATGTGTTCTAATAAATGAAGATTATTTTCTGCTAGATTCCTTAATTTCATTATTATTTTATTTTCATTAAAAAAAAAAAAAAAAAAAAACCCCAACCAAAAAAAAAAAAAAAATCCCAACCATGGAGATGCATAATTTTTTACTCAAGATTCTTTTTCCTTCACAAATTCAAGATTCAAACACAATTAATAGTGTTTGGTTCATTAGCATGAAGTGAAAGATAATAATCACTCCATAAAAAATAAGAAATAAAAAATAAAAACCATCCTACGCCAACCAATCAAATGATAAAAGGTCGAATTCAACAAGGTTGCAGGCACGTAATGCCGATCATATCCAATAAAGAAAGTCGTGCCAATCAAATCCATTAAAAGAAGGCTAATCAAAACAAGCAAACAAGATCAGACTTAGTTGATGATAGAAGCTAAGAAACGGTCATTCACTCCTATTCTATCTTGAAAATGATCTTTGTGATATCTACTTTTGCTAATTGTTTGTTCAAGTGCGTGTCTGTATATTTTGGTATAACGAAACCTTTGAGGAAGTGGTTGAGATATGGAGATATGCCGATTGTGTCAGCGTTTTAGCAATGCGTGGGATGCAATCCGTGTTGTCGGTAGAAGGTGAAATGCGGTGAGGATGCCAATGACCAATGAGTTTGAGAGTGATATATATTGAAGTAATCTTTGCGGCATTTCCTAAAGGCTTAAGCTTGGTGCAGAATGACTGGCATCTCATCATAATAATAAGTTCGCATCGAAGGTGGGTTTGAGATGTTGACACTGTTTCTTTCGTTTCCAACTGCTAATAATGAGTCGGTGTCAAGGTTTTAAAAAACAGCCGTGTGAGGACATAATTTTTGAATGTCAACACGTGTCTAAAGTGACACCGAAGTGTCAGCCGAAATCTCATGTTTTTTGGTCATGACACCGAGATGATCTCGGCTAGGACGAGATTATCTGCGAAGATACCGGAATCCGGGATAAGCGAATAAAGGACAAGAATCCGAGGATTTCAGTTTGGGTAAAGATAACACTCTTAGAGAGTTTATCCCAATCCTTCCAAGATTAGCAGTAATCCTACGGCTCCGTTTGTTTTGGGGTATGAGAGGGGGATTGAGATTAGGATAGCTGTGAGTCCCATTTAATGTGATGTTTGTTTACAAAGTTGAAGAATGGACTGCTAAGCCGAAAGGCTTCAAATAGGCTTTGCAGATGAAATTCGGATGGGCCTCCAAGACATAGTATTAGAAAAATAGTTTGACGGACTATAAATATATATTTTTTATTTTATTTTTTACATGTCGGACATTTTTTTGAACATTAATGTTTAATTTTTTGTATTTTTTGTTAAGTAAAAATCATTATTTTATTTTTTTATTTTTTTCTGAAAATTTTTTTATTTTATTTTTATTTTTAAAATTTTTTTAACATGTTAGGCATTTTTTTAAAAACATTAACGTTTAATGTTTTTGTATTTTTTTTATTATTTTATATTTATTTTATATAAAAATAATTTAACAATCCCTACACTAACAACTATCATAAAAAAAAACAAATACAATTTTACTTGATCCTCTCACTATCAATCTCCTCACTAACAATCCCCTCACTATTAATCTCCTCACTATCAATCCCCTCCATCCTATCTCTAAAAACAAACGGGGCCTAAGTCCATTGAAGCTAGACTTCTATTGAGACTAGAATTATGTTGGCTATAAAAGAGAGGCACCCTTATGAGTCTAAGGTATGCTTTTTATGCTCTGAATAGTGAGTTAAACATTTTTGCTATCTTTGAGAGATAACTGACTTGATCGTCGGAGTGCCCCCGGGTGGACGAGCCACCGCTGGAATCTCTTCTTTCTGTGATAGGTTGTTCGGGCTTAATCTATTCTGTCAGTGTTCTCCAGCTGAGTGCTTGATTGGCAGTGTGATCGAAAATTGACACACACAAGCCGCAACCGTTACGTAACACCGTGATGTAATAATTCTGGTGTTTCTCACCACCTTTTATGACTGCTATAGCAATGTGACAGAAATTTGTGAGAGAGAAAATTTTATGTTGGATAGTGTTGGAGTAAAGGTATTTTCGGTATTTCACAGTTTTACTCGTCTTAATACTACATATTTATAGTTAAAGAGGAGCGTGTATCTCTCTGTATTGAATTGCAAATCTGTATCTCTCTGTATTTCACAGTGTGCTTGATTTAGTTTCTTATTTTATTCCTATTTGTGTTTCGTGTACACGATCCTAGTTTGGTATATCAATTCTTTATCATTTGAACCAAGCCAACAATATTCAAGTGAATTTGCACCCAGAAAAAAACCCCTAAAAAAATGATATAAAAGAGCAGAAAAAAAAAATTGAAAAATTCCAGCAAATCAGGCATTTCTTTAGCCCTTCAATAGAGGAAACTAATAAATATTGTACAAATAGCACGTCAATAGGAGTTACGCAACTATTGTGAGAGACTAATGGTTAGCCTAGTGAATAAGCGCTTCCTCACCGAGCGTGATGCTAAGGTTCAAGTTTCGTAGTTTCTACTTTTCCTCCCTTTCATACTAATTGTTTGACAAAACAGAAGAAATTGTTGTTGTGGATTCACACAAGGCAACAGTGCAGTTTCTATCTCATATATACATATAGATATTACGTTCTAAGAAGAAGAATTTCAACTATTCTGACAAAAAAGGGAAAATTGAAAAACATACGCCCTAGCAAGAACATATCACGAATATATTGGAACATATAACAAGTCAAGTCATGCACATCACGCATACATCTATCTGCAACAACTTTCAAGGACCACATAAAAAAAAAAATTAAGAGCAGAAAATCGTACTTGTAGGTGTGCAGGCTTTCCAAATGAAGCTAGGTCCACCCACCATCCATCTTTTACATTCTGCACCTTCAAGCTAAAAGTTTTGAAGGTGCACAAGCATACAGAGTCAAACAAAGTTACACCAAGTAAAATTGGTGTTTATACCAAACAGAGTGAAGATATTAGTTCCAGCCAACTTGGATTTGCTTCTTTTGAGATCCAAAAAAAATGACTACTTAACAATGTCGCTAACATTTCCCAGGTTTTAAGGGTTGCCGGAACCCTCTAAAAAGAATCACACTAAAACACATCACGTCACCTCTAAATGTCAAAGCTAATACCTACCCTACAACAGGATGCGGATTACGGCAAGACCAACAGTAGAGATCGAGACGAGAGTACCTATGCAGTATTTGATCACATCATACTTTGCTGCTTCCAACTGGGCTCTTAATGCATGAATTTCCTGCAGAGAGAATAGAGAAACTGAAATTAATGCTTGGAGTCAAAAGTACAAAACACATCGTATTTCTCAAATGCACATCATAAAGCTCACTCGATCAAGCTTGTTAGTGAGGTTGGTGGTTTCTGCATTCTGATTGGCGAGTTCATCTCGTATGCGCCTGCAGTTCATTGCAAGTATGAATCAAATGGAGGTGAAAACAAAGGAAATTAAGGGTTAGATGGAGTTCTATTTCTCACCCTCTTTCAAGATTTAAATCCAGTCGTTGACCTGCTGTGACCTTGTCAATCTCATACCTGTTTCATAGCACAAAAGCCTTGCACTGAGAATATCACGATTGAAAAGAGAAAATGGAAAAAACACTAAATGACACTTTGAAGGCAAACAGACCTAAGTTCACTCCGCATTTTCTCTATGTCACTCCGAAGCTTTTCAGTCTCACGTTGCAACAAAGAAAAGTGATGCTCCTGCAGCAAATAAAATTCTTAATATTCTTTTTCTTTTCTTTTCTTTTTTGATAAATAAAATTCTTAATATTCTACACAAGGGTGCATCACTATTTAGGGTTTAGGGTTGCTTTAGTTATAACAAAAATACAATGTACTAAAACAAGCAGACTTAAGACAATGGAATCTATATCAGCCATCAAAAATTATTTTTTATAACACTATCTTCCCAAGTGGATGGAAAAACTAAAATGTCTGCTCCAAAGGGAACAATGGTCCAGCAGGTAAGGCAATTTGATCAGAGATGACATGAGCAAAGCAGCGGCAGCGGCGGGCGGAAAAGGACTCAAATCAAATTACATGTCATAAAAATCGAGGCTGGTAACAACACAAACGTCTCCACCCTCTCATCGCTCTACTCACTTCTTTTGCCATTCATTCCCCCACTCTCTATCCACTACGAATCTTGGAAGATGAGAATCCACTATGGTTACATATTACTCCTCTCAAACTTTTATGCATATATCGAATTGTTGGTGCATAGAAGAACCCTTACGGTCTACTATGGGAGACCTAGAAACACTCTACAAGTTTTAAAAAAGCATTTCTCTACACAGACACTTGCCAGGGCGATTTTGCTGTTATTGATAAACTGTTCTCTGCACATCTATGTGTATTTATTTCTCAATAACAGCATCATCGAGCATTAAACAATGCCCTTGAGTTTCATTTTGTATCAAGTTCCTCCGAAATTTCAATCAGCACATAAATTTGATGACCTGCATAAAAAATGCAGCCAGTTTTTGCATGAACTAGATATCATTACTGTAGTTTTTACCTTACTGGACTATGCTAGAAATGAAGTGTCCAAGCATAATGAGCAATTTGAACATATTGCTGTGCAAGATATTTAAGAGCATCCAAAAATAATCTATAAGAGCCTCAAAGTCATTGGCCACTCAAACTTCCATCTAAAAATGTATCACATAGCACTTGTTCTATTTTCAACATGTTTCTTCAATCTAAAAAGCCATATGGCATCACAAACTATATTTGATAAAAAGAGAGAACTACTACTAACAACCACGAACTCATTTAGTGAGAATCCCTACCATTATTCTTCTACACTTAACATATAGAATCACACGCAAAGCTATCTTCATGTTCCATAGGGATATCTAACTCTGAAAGGCCTCTAAAATAGTCATCACTTTCTTGAAGACATTCATGAACAGTCAGTAAGCCAAACATGGGAAAAGAAAATACATGGTGAGTTGTTATCTTTAACATTAAGAGACAACCAAGGAGAATAAATAGATGATACCAGTATATCTTTTCCTTGTTCATTGCCAAATATTAAACCACCTAACAATCGTCAACAATACAACGTGATAGCAAATCCCACTAGGGTTGTGACTTTTAAGAGCAAGAAGTAGTATCAAAGATGGTGGCATAAATAGCAAGGGTTGTAAAGATTGGTAAGCATTTGTCTTATAGTTTCTTGTGATGAACAACAGACATGGCAGAAACCTTCAAAAAGTACAGAATTTATTGTAATTTTTGATAGGTTGACATCTTCTACAAAAAATTGCGTATCTCTTTGGAAACAAAATATGAATGGTTGATCTCAGTGCCTTCAATTGACACAGGAGAATGGAAGGTTTCATAAAATATATAAAACAAGTCCAGCTGCCACAGGGCACACTATTGAGACGTCAAAGAAAAAATGTTGACAATAAGAGTATATGCAGACAAAATCTCATGGAAATTACATAATTTTTCATTTAAAAACTTACTTTTAGATAGAAGTGGCACTTTTCTATTTGAATTTTTGAGTCATTTTAGTTTCTTTTTTTGTTGTTGCTGGTACCTTCTGAACCTATCAATTCTCCAATTCTGATTCTTCCCAAATCGGGGGAGGATTACACTTCTAATGGAATGGGTTAGTTTGGTATTATTTTCATTTTTGGCATTTTCATTTTTTGTGTCTTTGGGGGGAAAATGAAATTGAAAACACACGTCGTTTCATTTTTGTGTGAAAACAGTTTATGAAAATCCAGAAGAAAAAAACTGTAAAATGAATTTTTTCAAGAAATTTTTTCCAAAAACAGTTAGCCAAACAAGTTTTTTTGTCAGTACTTGATGATATATATATATATATTTTTTTTTTTCCGCGTAGGTAAGTCAAAAATTTTATACCAAAATCAAATATTACAGTGAAGCTCATTACAAGCCCAAAGGCAAAACACCCATCAAAGAGGGAAAAAAATGCCTAGCTCCTACACAAAATCTTAAACATGAAGCTCTTGATATGTAGACCGACTTCCTTAACAAGTGAAAAATATTTGAACTGACCATTATGTTGATCCAATGGAACTAAAAAAATTCTTATAGAAAGTGAAACACTTGATTAATGTATTAAATGGATAACTCACAAAAGAAACTTCCTACTGATTACAATTAAAGCATAAGACATACACTTCATAAATGGTGCTAAGAAGCTAGAAACTCCAATTTATGAGAAATTGGCTCTCCAAAATGGCCAAAGAAGCTTCTATGTCAAAACCAAATACATACATAATTCATAAAGGGGTATATACTTATGACAGGCCTGCTCCTGAAGGGTCATTTTTCTTTTTTGTAAAAGAACAAAAATATATTTTCAATATGTGGCAGTCACGTGAAAGGGGCATGGATGTCGACATTTTGGAGAATGATCACTATGGTAGTTATTAAAACCACTTATAGGAGATTTCTGAGAGACACAAATATCCAAATCCTAATTCCGAATGTCAAATGAGAGACAAAAAAAGAAGAAGGAACCATTCACCATTCAACATTCAAACACTTGTAAGGTTTTGTTGCACACACACAGAGAGAGAGAGAGAGAGAGAGAGATTCTTAAAGTTCTCAGGGCTAGTTAAATCAACTGAAATAACCACTTAAAAAGAAAATACCACTAACCCCAAGTTATGCCATTACAAAGAACCTTGTACATGGCCTATCAAAAAAGGAGAAGAGAAAAAACTATATCCATAAGCTTACAACACCTCCTACAAAAGTGGAATCCTGTAACAGACCAAAAAATGTAGTATACTGGGATTCAAAATCAAGTTATAAAACAACAAATTTCTTCTTGGCAACTACAGGCAATTTTATTAAAGGTAACCAAGACGCCAAAGGGGCATTATCCATGGGCAAAAGACTACACTCTAATTCGTTAAGTACTAAACGAGAAGTTTACTTCAACCATGACTATTCCAACAAGAATCCAACTATCACAATATTGTACTCTTTTGTCTTTATTTACTTGCCCTTTAAAAAAATAAAAAAATAATTCCTTGTCTGCATTCTTTTGAATTTTTTGACTCTAATGCTTACCTATCTTGGCTAACTAATCTTGTCAACAATTAAAATTTCATCAAGAAACTTACATATTCCAACATAGGAGTTTAGAAGGGTTTACAATTGATCCTTAACATAATCCAATCAGAGTTGAATATTCAATTGTTTCATTAAGAACTACTGTCACACTAGCTACAAATCTATCATTCACACATGCATAGACATACACAAGTCCTTACAAATGCGAAAATCTTAGGCCAAGTTTGGCATCTCCCCAAAACGACAAAAAGCCAAAAAGTTGCTCAAAAAGTTATCACTATCCACCAAAAAAAAATATTAAAAAATTAATTTTTCATACAAAAGTACAACTCAGCAATCAAGTCAGCTTTAGCTCTGTGCTACGTTTATTAAGAAAAATTGCACAGTTTTGTTGCAATTTTCACACACTACTATTCGGCCCATGGGGGCCCATCACGGGTCCCGTTTTGATAATCTGAACCATTCAAAGTGTAGAACTCGTCGAGTACTATATGTCTGTAAAAAATCAAATTGATCGGATATCGATAACTATATGATCAAATCAGTTTTGTATAAAAAAATGGATGGTGTTATAATTAACGATTGAAAAAAAACAAATCTGATCAAATAGCTATCGATATTCGATCAACGTGATTTTTTATAGACATATAGTACTCGACGAGTTCTACACATTCAACGGTTCAGATTATCAAAATGGGGCCCGTGATGGCCCCCATGGGCCGAACAAAACAGTCCAGTGCAATGCCCGAAAAGTAGCCAATAATTTCTTACCATCAATTCGGTTGTGCAGATTGTACGGCTGTACAACACACATCTCTAATCTTCTCCTACACACTTCTTTATACAATTTTTTAATACACATTTTTTCATAAAAAGTCAAAAAGTTAACTCAAACATCCATATTTTTTTCCTCAACTTTTTAGTCTAAAAAGATAAAAAGTGCACTTATTTAGGACACCCCAAACAATCCCTTAATTTGATCATTAACTTATTCTATAACTATCACATGTCTTCTTTTAGTCGATAGCCGCACGTGCTTTCTCTTCCAATCATAGCTTATTCCAAAAGAAAGAGAACAACATTTAATCCCCAAAAGAAAAAAAAAAAACGAGAGGTGATTTCTTGCATTCAAATCAAGAAGGTGGAAGAAAACCAAGCTTAAAGTGAAGAAAAAAAAATATCAAAAGAATTACATGAAATGGAAATACCCTAAAAAAAGTTCATGTGAAAGAGCAATGCCTAGGCTAGAAAATCTTACTCTTACATATAAGTTCACGACAGCTATAAATCTAGCAAGCAATTAATGATGAGTATCATGCCTAAGGCTCCGTTTGTTTGAATTGAAAATATTTTTATATTTTTCTGTGTTTGGTTGCATATAATTTAAGTACAACATTTTAACTCTAAAATGTTTTCCAGCAAATCAAGGTAGAATGAGTGACCGATCTAATTTCGGTAAGTCATTTTGCGAATCACCAGCAAGCTGCTCTGGGGCTCTCCACCTCTCTCCTTGTAAGCCATCAAACAGGTCAGCTGCAGAATATAGAAGCCGGTGGTTGTGGGTTTCAAATTGGCAATGGCCTTCTTGTGTGCGTCGGCGAGTGAGTTGGGTTGGGCAACTTGCGGATTTGTGAGCCAGGGGGTGTTCAATGGGTGTGGTATGGATGGGAAAAGAATTTTACATGCCAAACACCTACAAGTAAGAATAATGTAGAACTTTTTCTTGTAAATTGTTTTACCTATAAAAATAAAAAGTAAAATATTTTATGGCAAAACAAATGGAGCCTAAAATAAATTTCCAGGCTCTTTCAACCATGTAAATAACATCAAACATTTTGGCTTAATTGAACTTGTGTTACTAGAAAACGCTAATACCCTAGCGAATTACATATTGGTATACACGTTCCGAAACACGGTACACTTATGTTCCAAAACAGTAAATTTAATGATCCGAAGTGATCCCAATTTTTTTTTTCCAAATCCTTAAATGTTACCTTAGGAGGGAAAAAAATAAAATAGGATGAACTAAAACCTAAAGTGACTTAAGTTTTGACAAGACAAAAACATCAATAGCTAAAAGAAAATTACTCTAGAAGTACCTTAAATTCTTAAGTATAATATACAAGTCTACACCTATCGTACCAAATTTTAGAGCATGTGGCGTACTACATTCCCGTCTCACATTCCAGGTAACATAGAACTGAACCAATATAACTTTTGCGGTTAGAATATGCTCAAATAACACTCTTAACGAGGTCTAGCCACAAACACTTTCCACAAATAAGGGTGTAAAGGAGTAGAATGCATATCAGTTATTAGCAATGGCCATTCATGCAGATAAAACCAGTTCAACTTCATCCCTAAGGTTCCCAACATCATGAAAACTGTCTTATTTTATCTTAATATTCTTTTCTTCCCAAGTTAGCACATGCCACCCAAAAAAAAATGAAGATGCCTCAAGGAACCTGTGAAAGATCCTAAGGCTCGTGCCCCCAGGCATACTTGGTTAACCCTAGGTTGCAGTACTTTTAATTTTAGGCATATTGTCTGCACAATCTTAAGTTCTTAATGGATTGAAATAGTCCATTTTCTATCAATTGGGTATCTAAAGTGATTTCCTATAAATTATGTTACCTAAGGTCAAAAAGGAAAGCAACTCAAAAAAATAAATCTGTAAATCCTCATACCAAAACGAGTGCAAAAGCAAAGACAACTAGGGTGAAGGTAACAAGTCCCAAGTTGATCTTCAAATTATCTCAACCTCTTGAGTCTTGACCCATGTTGAGCAAAGACAATGACGGTGATGGTACAAGTCCCAAGTTGATCTCCAAACCATCAAATCCTCTTGACCGATGTTATTATAAATCCTTCACATAGGTATCATTTCAATCACAGCCCATCCTTTATTGTTCAATCGATTCTAAAATTCAGGAGACAACAGTGTTTATTGATGATAATCTCTATGAAGTCTCTTACAAGCAATTCATTCTTCTTGGTGGTACAGGGGATCAGGAACATAAAAATGTTGAAAAACATCCTAGTACAATAGTTTTTTTTTTTTTTTTTTTGGGATAAATAAAAAGAATATATAACCCTTGCTTGGTCAATGCTCGAGAGAAGACCATCCTTTTTTTTTTTTTTTTTTCCCTTCTATGAGTAAAGTGCAAGGAAACCTTCCATTTCAATTTTCATCCATCTCTAACATCATAGAAAGGCCAATTGAAAAAGCATTCCCATACACAGAGTCAACGCGAGTTCCTTGTGTACGAGCTTGCCCATTATGTTATACTGAGGTGATAAATACATTAAGATTATGATACCACATGCTTATTCTTCAACAATGTTATAAAATCTTGGATTTTGCTATATGATTATCAAATTTGAGAAAATTATGCTTTTGATTTCAAAGCTATCTATTGCATACCGATAAGCCATGTTTCATTTCAAATGAATTATGCTATCCATTGATTATCTATTTAAGCATCCTATGCTTTCAACTACATCGTATCCATGTTAAAATGCTAGCTCTCGTGTTCATATTATTCACTAAGTTGGATAGCTCATCACATTATTTCCACCACGTTTATGGAGATGAAGCTTAAATTGAGGATCTAGTCTTTGTATATGAAGATGGTGATTGGAGTTTGTACATGCTATGAAATGAAGAAATTAAGTTTTGTATATTGAGACCATATGTACTAATTTGTGAAAATATGAGATGTGTGTATTATGTGGCCTTGTGTTTGGCCAAGGATGATGATGACATGTAATATCAAGTATCTGCATCATGGAATGCGCATTCGGGACTTAGGAACTTGCTCTCTAAGGAATAGAAATGAATGAAATGTATTACCAAATGTACATGTGTACTTTATGCTTCTATCATATTATATTGTAATTGTTCAAAATATAACAGGTGCACTACCCTTCAGTTTGGTTAGGCCTTTGGTAGCTATGCTACTGGCTGGTTATGCATTCTGATTTTGTGTATGATGTGGGTCAAGATAATGACACTAATTTCTCAAAATAACAGTGATTTTCATTCAACAATTACCAGTTTCTTCTAATACTAAATCAACTATGTGATTTTCATTCAATAATCACGCCTTTTGCATTCCTTGTCTAGCATTAATACCAATGAATCCTCATTTTTTATTTATTCAACCTGAATAACTATAGTTTTCCGCTCTCGCAACTTAGCAAGTTCATAAATACTCTTATCCCCGTTCTTAGTAATTAACTTACTATAAATGGGAAAATGAACAAAATTTCATATATTCAGCAATGATTACAAATCAAAAGGATTCTAGTCAGATTTGGGAAACGAAAATGCAGAAACAGATTAGTACCTGGGAACTTTGTACTTCAGTTTTAAACTTGGAGAGGTTTGACTCATGAAGCATGTCAGTCTACAACAACAAAAGCACAAACATTATAGCTATATATATTCTCATACCAACCCTTGATCAGGCCAAAAGTAATGCAGACCTAGTATTCAAACCCTTACTTTCTGCATTTCTGCTTTTGAAACAAAGAGTGAGCCACATTTTCCAAGCTATCATTTAAAACTTCAGTAATAGCAGCAGTTATTGCCTCTGCCTGCTTTGAAGGCACACCTTGTGCTTCTAACCTCCTCACCTGCCATAGCAACAACCCTAAGCAAAATGTCATTCCAATCCAACAACTAAATCATATCTAAATCACTTCTTAACAACTACATTATGTTATCTAATTAAAAATCAAAAATCCAAAGCCATATTTTAATCCAAAAAATACAAAAAATTAGAAATAATGTTTCGAATTAGAGAAGAAAAAGAGGAAATTACCAGAGCTAGCGTGTCTACGAGGAAAACACGCTTTCCATTAGGTTTGACAAGTTGAGAGATCTGCCTAAAGTCAAATCGATTAAAACTCGAATTGGAAGACGAAGAACTGCCAAAAATCATCGAAGAGCCATCGAATTGCTTCTCTGAAGAAGAAAACCTTCGAAATTTAGTGAATGAGATTCCAGAACTTGGACCTAGTTGAACCAGGCGCTTACACGCAGCCATTAACTTCAGAGACGGAAACTTTTGAATCAAAATATGAAATTTTTTAAATGATCGAAGAAGTAAATCACTGGATTGATTGGTACAAAAAGAGGAACAACAAATTGTTCATTGTGGTGTGGCTTGGGTAGAAATTTGAAGAATTGGTTTACGAATGATCGATGAACAGTGAGAGATGGAATAGAAATTTGTTTCCCTCTAAAATCAAATAGGACAGAGGTCTGTGGAAATTGCGGGACTAGATGGCAGAAGATCGTTATGCTAACAAAGAGAGAGGGGAGAGGGAGATGAGAGGCGGCGAAAAATGTGGGTTCAATGGGCTGTTCGTTAATGGCTATATGACTTGTGCGGAAAGAAATGAATACCCTCCATTTCATTGATATATTCGGTTTTTTTTATTTTTTTTATTTTTAAATGAGAGAACTAGAGAGCAATGGAAAATGGAAAAATATTTTTAAATTGCAGTAGATATGAGAATATGGGAAAATGACTAAATTGCCCCTTCTTTTCCTCTCTCCTATCCTTCACTCTAATGTTGTGAAACCCGAATCGGACCGGCTGGTCGAACCGGGAACCGGGCCTGATTCTGGTCCGGTCAACCCTCCAGAACCGGACTATGAGCAAAACCGGCCTGGAAATTGAAAACCGTCAGAACCGGCGGTTGAACAGGGATAACCGGACCGGGTTTTGGCGGGTTAGATCGGCGATTTTTTTTTTTTTTTTTCGTTCTTTCTTTCTTTTCTTCCTTATATATATATATATATATATATTATAAATATATTTTAAAATTTTGACTAAAAATTCTTACTTCAAGAGTCTCCTCTCATAAGAAAGAGTCTCATTGGAAGTTGGAGAAGATTATGAAAGTCTATTCCTATTTATAGGAGAAAAAATTTCAAAAAGAACCTACAAAATTCTATGTGGGATTCAATCAAATTATTTGAAACATATTGATGGGAGGGAGAGTTGAAAATTTCATTTCCCTCCAAAATTAAACCTAACATTGAATCAATTTGTTTGGAGGGAATGCTTAAAAATTTTAATTTCTTTAAAACAAGTGACTTTCTTTTTATCAATTATGACTTTATTAAATATTATTAATAAATATTATACAACAATTTTTATTTTTATTTGAGTATTTATATATATTTTTATTTATTTATAATTTTTAATTATATTTTTTAATTATATAATATTAATTATGATGTCACGGTTCGACTGGTTTGACCCGACGGTTGAACCGGTGACCCGTCCATCCGATCTCTTTTCTGATTCGTCCACCGATCTGATTTTCAAAATATTGCTTCACTCTATCCTTTTTTATCTTTTAATAGGTAATTACCACTCCTCCACCATCTCCCATTATTCCCATCCCAGCTCTTTTTTGCATCTTTTTCTGCCATCGGCATCACTTTCGCCACATTTCCTACCACTACTCTTAATTCATTTCTTGACAATCTCACACTTGTAAAGTTGTACCAACAAGTTTCACAACAATATTAATCTACTAGCATATCACCTGTATTATGTACGGATTGTATTTATAATTATTTATATATGTGAATTGTGATTTTTAATTTTTTTTTTAAAATGTCTTCTTTTTTTCTTTTTTTATATTATATTAAAGTTTAATATTTTGATAATAATCATATGTGTTGGACTTTTCAAGAATTTTTTTTTTATGCTTGATTTTAATACATTAAAGTGTTATTATGAGGGATAATAATCATATGTGTTGGGACTTTTCAAGGAATTTATATGTGTTGGATTTCAAAGAATTTATTTTGTGCTTGTTCTTAATGCATTAAAGTGTTATTATGAGGATAAGACTTGGGAGAAGTTAATAAATACTAAGATTTTTTTTTTTTAAATAAAAAAATCAAGAAATTTAGATTGAGAGATTGGAGCTCCCACAAGGCTTGGGATTAAAAACCTCCTTTTACTTAGATGGTGTTTGGGAAGTGAGTTTTTATGTAGGTTTTTTTAGTTGTAGGTTTTTATTGAATAAAAAAATTTTGGTGTTTGGAAAGATAGTTGGGTTTTTATGTGGTTGGATGTGTTGTTTGTGAGAGAAAAAGTGAAATGATTATGGGGTTGGATGTTATATTTTGTTTGGATGTGTTTTTTTTGGTTTTGTAAAAAGTTTGTCTTTTAGTTAAAAAAATGAGAAAAAAATTTGAAACCTAGGTTCTCAAACACCACCTTAATATATAGTATAGAAGTGTGAGATTGCATGCGAGAGAGGCATTGGAGGATTAAAATGGTTATGGAGGCTAAGGTTTGCGGAAAGAGGGTTGATGGGTGGAGAAATTAAGGTCTTGGAAAGGTAAGAGAAGAGTCATAAAGGATGGTGAGGAGGATGACAATGAAGGAGAGGAACTATTTATATTATCATATCATATATGTATATACTAATCTCACATATTTTAATGTTTAGAAATTGGCCTTGTTAGATTATGGGATGTATTTTTTTTCAATTTTACTTGTTTATATTTTTGTTAAATAAAATGTTATATAATTTAATTTTTAGGTGCCAAATTTTATTATTATATGTCACATTGTAAGTGAATCATTTATATATATATATATATATAAAAATTAATTATTTATATTTTTGTAATGCTTTCTCTGAATTTTTTTATTTTTTTAAGAACATAAAAAATAATTATATTAAAATAAAACAAACAACATATAGATTAAAAACAAAAACAAAAAGTCTCTGAAAGACCAAACAACAAAAACAAATCAGCCAAAAAAATCAACTTTCTCCAAATTTTAAGACTAGCATAATTCTGCTCACCAATTTGCCTGTCTAGGCCCACATCCATTTCATATTCAACAAACCCTCCATTTAGGTTACGAACAAACCAAACTGTTTGGAAGTACAAACTGAGCTTAAATTTTAAAATTATTAAACTAGTTGAGGCCTTGTTTGGGAACAAATTTTTTTTAGTAATTTTTTAATTTTTTGACTAAATTGTGATGTAAAAAAAATAAGTATATTTGGGATGAATTTTTAACTTTTTTATAAAAAAAATATGCAAAAAGTAGAGAGAAAATAGAATCTTTAACTTTTTGGTATGAATTGTCGGCTTTTTGATTTTTTTAGTGATTTTTTGGTTAAAAAAACTACTTGCCAAACGAGGCCTCCGAGTATAAATTTAAACTTAGCTCATGAAGCTCATCTGGTATTTTACTTAGGGGTGAGCAGCGGATATTTCGATATGTCCAAACCAATTGAACCAATCCGATCTATCACATTTTGGACGAATGCGTGATGATGAGTAGATGGTTGTGGATTGATTTTTTTCAATCCACTTAATTTTCAACGTATAACGGATTTTTTTTCAATTTGTTTAGATATTTTGTTTGTGTTTTTAATTGAAAAAGAATTTAGATATTTTGTCGTGTATTCAATTTGAAAATTCTTTTATCAAATGATAAGGGTTAATATTTGGTATTTTTGTGTGAAAAATATAAAGTTCAATTTTTTTTCATTTTAAAAAAAATCAAATTAAATAATTTTTGAATTAAAAAAAATAATGAAATAGTTTTTATAATGCATAATTTTTTTATATGTATTTATTATTAATATTTGACAATTTACTCGATAATCTTTTGATTATGTTAAGCTAAATTATTATCCAAAAAAAAATATTGACAAATTATTGTATTATGTTCAAAATTTATAAAAGTTTAAACCGTCAAACCAATTCGCATCCATCCGTCAATCCGCTCAATTTGCATCCATCAATTCAGCGAACGGATGTAGAATGATTTTTCCAATCCACTCATCTGGCGGATTAAAAATTCCCTAACCACAACCGAACCACGAATATATTAAATAATAAAAAATGTGTATAAATAATAGCATAATGTTTAATGATAAAAAAATATATATATATATTACGGAACTTTGAGCCGGGCTCAATTAGTATAAGCAACATAGCTGAGCCAAGATCAAGCTAAATTAATTTTCAAAACAAGCTCAAGCTAAATTTTCCAGCTTGACACACAAACCAGCTGAGCTCAAGCAATACGAAGATCAGCTCAGCTCATTTCAACCCCTATCTCCATCCAGCCGATCCCACATAAGAATGCAAGAAAATGAAATAATTTGCCAGATTAACATTTGCCAAAAAAAAAACGTAAAATAACTGTGCTGTTGAACTGCACAAGTTTTTACCATAATAAAGCATAGCCTATAGCAAAAAGTCAAAACTGCCTAATAACAAAACTACTGTACAAAACCATCTTCTCCCTGCCCGGCCACCATGAGACTCCACAGTTCAAGTGTGCATACGATCACAAGAAGCTCCCTTCTTACAGTGCCCACTCTGATAGTATCCGCACACCAACTGTCCACTGCCCTGTCCACCACCACTATGTCCACCGCTGCCCTGTCCACTGCCACTATGTCCACCGCCACTACCAAATGACTGCTGTCTGTTCCACCGCCTACCGCCACCACCGCCACCGAAACCAGAATCTCTACCCTGAAAACTCCTGTTCCTTTGGCCTGAAAATCTATCCCCATTGTGTTGTTTCTCATTTCCCCTCATGCCCGAATTTCCAGGCGGTGCACCCCAGCCCAGGTTTGCATTTCCAGGTGGCGCTGGCCCTTGAACAGTAGTTCCTGGATTTCCGGTTGGTCCGGCCCAAACTGGATTTACATTTCCGAGTGCTGGCCCTTGAACATTTCCCGGATTCCCAGTTGATGGAACCCACCCAGCATTTCCATTCCCAGATCCTGGATTACCTGCTTGTGCAGCCCAACCCGGATTAACATTACTGGGCTGTGCAGCCCAACCTGGATTAGGATTACCTGGCGGTAGACCTTGAACCATAGCTCCTGGATTTCCAGGCGATGCAACCCAGCCCGGATTGACAGTCCCAGGAACAGGCCCTTGAACAGCAGGTACCCAATTCATATTTGTAGCTACAGGTTGTTGTGGTGGTGGTGGTGGTGGCAGTGGCCCTGCCCAACCCATGTTTGGATTTCCTTGCATCGGAACCCAAACAGCATTTGCATTACTTTCGGCAACACCCATGCCCCAAGGTACACTGGGTGGAGCTACAGGCTGGATGTTAGGTTGATTACTGGCAACTGGAGGCCTCCAAGGCTCAGGTTGGGGCAAAGCATTGAATCCTGGAGTCTGGAAGTTTCCGGAGGGATTTGGAACAGTAGATGGAATACCACCCCAATGACCATAAGCTGCTGGTTGTACAGGCACAGGAAATGATGGGTTTGGTACCCAGGTTTGAGAATCACTCACAGCTGGTTGACTAGGTGGAACCATTTCTTGGTTTTGAGCTGAACCCGATCCCCATCCATGAGTTTCAACAGGACCCATCACAATTGTTTGAGAAGCGGGCAAAGCAGTTGTAGGGCCTACAAGAATACCCTGTTCGGAATTAGGTGCTGGAATTGAACCAGTGAGAGAACTAGAAGGATCATTTTCAAAACCCATCAACTGCGTGCCAGAATTCATTACTGAAACAGGTGTCGAAACAGCTAAAGATTCTAGTGCAGTATGTTCTTTGCTTCCAGTTTGGTTAATTGAAGATGAGAGAGACGAAGGAGTCAATTGACCACTATCTGAAGTAGCCACAGCAGCTGAATGTGTTGGTCCTTCAGTCCATACTGGAGTACTCGATTTTGGAGTAGGAGATGGCAGGTTCAATGGATCATTTCTACTATTGTCAGAACCCCATCTATCGGCTTTAGGGACCTCAACTGAAGGAGTGCTCCATCCACTTGAAGAACTTAACTCCAGTTGATTCCGTACACCATGACTATGATCAAAGTTCAATCTCTCCCCACCTTCACCTTCCTTTCCTTTTTGTAAAGACGCTCCATAAGGCTTTGCAGCATGTGTTGAAGAGAGTACAGTTGGAGCCTTCATAGAATTATTATCCATCAGTGGCAACTCTTTCTCAAACCTCCCAGCTAGCGCATCTGCCAAAAGTATAGAATCCTCTTGCTTCTCAGTGGTTCTCCAAATTTTGAGATCGGCGGGAAAGTATCCAGTGTTATTCCATTTACGCAGCTGAACGATAGAAAAAGGTCCTTGAACTTTTCCAGCTGGATCCTGATAACGCCACATTTTCTCTGTTTCATTGACTTTAGTAGCAGTTTCAGCTAGTCCACCAGGGAGAGAAGCCTGTGAAGCATCTGATGCAGGACCCGAGAATGATTCTGACCTTACAAAAGGATGGCTATTCCGTCCAACAGTTTCAGAATTTGAAGCTGCATTCAACTTCTCCATGTTAGCTTGTACGTCTCTGTCTCTTCCTTGATTCCATGCATTTTTATTCGATATGTCGCCCACAAGAGCAGACTCTTCACCTTTATTTGAGAAATTTTTACTAGAGTTGTTTCTATTTAGTTCCCAATTCTTGCCAGAATTTTTCCTTGTACCACTCCAAGAATCTGTTGAAGAGAAACTCCCTCCACGGGGCGAGATTGGCTCCATTCCTTTCCTGCTAAAGCCAGAACCTCTTGGCGTAGGGTAAATTTCTGCGTGTACCAGAAGCAATTTCAAAACTCAATAGCCATAGCTAAAAGAACAGAATCAAGATATTATGAAAATGCAATCAGTACAAATTGGACCTTTTTTGTTATCCTCCATTTCAATATCATCCTCTTCAGACTCATAACTTGGATCCATATTTGGGTCTGCATGTATTTCTGGAATTTCCTCTAGTCTCAATCGACGCTCCTCAGGCGTGCGTTTTCAGAAGCTGCAGTTTCTCTACACATTCCCTAAGCGTAGAAGTCAGTAAAGGATTACATCCACATATTACTAGAATCATTAATGTCCTTGACCAATTTTTGAAGCTACAAACTACCATATAGTATCTGAAAGAGAGGAAACTTCTGGCGTCCAACAGTGCTGTAGCTGGAACCAAAGCAACATACAGCAAACCAGCAGAGTCATCTAATTCATGGATGCAACTTATTCAAGTCACAAAAACACCGATCACCGACAAAACATGTGTATGCACACATAAGCCAAAGTTTGATAATTTGTTCAACAAGCAACAAAATGAAACTGAAACATCATACGTAAAATCACGTAGCATTGAGAAAAATAGATTTTAAACTAAAGATCACCCAATTGCACGAGATGTTTAAGAACTTCATAAACTTGGACAAAAAAAGGATATTCCTTCCTACGCCCTTTCTCACTAGCTCGATCACGGAGATGACTAAGCCTCACAACTTCTGATTCCAGCCACTGAAATATAACAAAGAGAATCATGCATCTCATTAAAGAAAAACCAGAAGAAAAAAAAATTCTAAATATCCAGACAATAGAACTGTGAAAACCTCAAAGAAAACTGACCTGGACAAAAATAACAGATACACTCATACAAGGGATATATGTGACCACTACAGTTTTTGCAACGTCAAGTATTCTTTGAATATACAACCATTATTTGTTCAGCCAATTTGAATCTCAAGACTGATCTCCCAAAAGAACATATCAAAAACTTAACTAAACTACGCAAATCCACGCTCCCCAATGATAGAAAAAGAAAACAAAAGACCGCAAACAGTATTAAGGCTTACAGGTATCAGTTCAAGCACAAAGGCATTCATACGCACGCAAATGCATTCAGTTAATCATCATTCCTCACAAGTCAATTTTTGGTTGATAAAAACTATATACTTTTTATGAAGCCAAGACAGTTACAAGGAGCACTAGTTTAGCTAAAAAAAAGACCATGCATGAAGCCCATGTTTGTGAGTCCCACATGTTTCCCCCTTGACCCCAAGCCCTCCATGTCCCATGTTGGTTGGCCACAATGGGGGATATTAGATGTCGACTATCAATCCCTCAAAACCTTGAGATAACTAATAGCCCCATCGTATAATTAATTCCTCTGGATTATCTCCGTCCCTCCATCCAACGACAAAAAATAATCCATCAAATCTTATCCAATTCTTTATTCCACTCTAACCAAACGTGGAATAATTGTCAACTTCTCTTTATTCCTTCACAAGTCTCCAATTTATCTTTATTCAACTTTGCATTTCTTGAAGCTAAGTCAACTTATATGAAGTATAATTGTCATTTAGTTAGAAGAACGAATGAGAATACAGTTAAACTTGTGAAGTAGAACCTAAGAGAAACTGCTTTGGTTATGTAAGACCAATTGTCCATAAGGATTGGGATACAGAGGAAGACATTGCCCATATTTGGTACAAAATATTCAGGCTATAAAGGAACTATCAGTCACAAATCTGAACATAGCAAAAGGTATTGAGATGGATGAAATAATAGTAAGAAATGAATGTGTCAAATTAGAAGTTGCAATGGTTAAGATGTGCAAAGGATGTACAAGAGTTTTTTCACCATGGCCAAACGGCCCAAAACAGATCATGTAATGCACCAGTACAAAAGAGTGACAGGATCCAACTTGAGTTTGCAATGAAATAACTAAACCACCCAAAAGAATATGAATTTCTTTCATGAAGAAAGCATAATTCCCTTGGATTTAACTAAGAAAGTGGCTTTAGGAAAAGCTAATTGGGGCCAATTTCCGTAGGCAGTACAGTACCTAATTAAAAAGTAGGCAGGCCAAAGTTTTGTTGAGTATGCCAAGTCTAATGAAGCTATTACTAATTATAGTTTTGGTTTTGCCTACATCCTGTTCATTGCAATGTAAGGCTTTTCTTATGTATTATTTTTATAGTCTCCATTCTTTGGCTCTGCACAAATTTGAATGTTTAGTACCTTTATGTATACAAATATGTTCACTTTGTTACCATCTTGAGGAACCACACAATACCACATACCATCGTAGTACAACCAATCCCAAAGGAGGTTAGAACTTTGGAGCCTGAGCCAAGCTTGAGGTTCCAAGTTTACGCAGAAGGGAAAGGATCTCTTGAAGAATTGACGATTAGGGTGCCAGGGAAAGATAGTCTTTTAGTTATTATGCAGGGAATTTGGAAACAAGCGAAAAGACATACTAAAAGATAAAGGCCCCAATGGGTGGTGGTCAGGAGGATTTATTCTAATTCTTACAGACTTAGTGAGTATCCATGTGTATTTTTAAATTACTTGGTGTCAACCACAATTCTTAGACTTCCATATCAGTTGGGCTTCTCCATTCATTCATACAATTACTTTTATTTATGTCTATAGCAAGCAATTGATAAGAAAAAAATTACCAGATATATTCTAAGAAATCGGCATTGTTGCACAATAAAAAAACACTTACACAGAAACAAACAAACATTAAGCAATCATATGCATGAAACTTACATCATTGACCCTAGCTGCCTGGACTTCCATGGCCTTGTCCAAAATGCCACCCTAAAAGCAACCAGATACCTCCTTAGATCTTAAAATTCATGTACTTGAGTGAAGTCATAAAAGTGACACTACAAATGCATAATTACCACAGTAAGCCTGTTGATAAGTCCACATTTTATACTCTGCCGTAACCGCTTGCATTCGTCCTAACAGATCAAAACAAGAAACATGTCAACCACTTCAACAAAGAGGCAATATATGATATGAAGAAACGGCGTATGTGACCCAATGTGTTCGCATAACATTATAAATATGCAGGCTAGGCACTCTTTTCCACGAAGAGCATGACTCATGCGTTTTTTGTCAAATAATGCAATGCACATTAATACCCCTTTTTGATGCCTGCTCTTTAACCAATTGAATTTGGATGGTCAAAGCACTATTTTAGGATGAGGAAGGATCCAAATCAGGAACCTCGATAATATTGTTCTTAAAAAGAAAGATCCAAAAAGTAAATTCTTTTCAACTAGCTCGAAAGAACTGCAAGATAACTGTAAATTCATTGCAATTTTCTAACCTCGGTAAACTCCTGATTCGAAATTGTATCAATTGATACAACCTCTGTTTTGTTTAAATTTAATATTTCTAGCACAAGATCCGTTGTCTTTTTACCAACTTTATATGGCTCAGCTGCTTTCCTCGTCCCTGTATACAAAATCATTCAAAATACTTAAAAATAATTAGACACCAAATGATTAATGCAACAAAATAAAAGACAGCAAGGGGGGGTACATAAATATATACCTACAACTTGGACTAGCCTATATATGTCTTGCTTTTGATTGCTACCAGAAATCCTTATTCTCACAAAAGTACCATCAACCTTGTCAGGGAACCTCTCCATATCTTCAAGTAAATCCTCCACCAACTTTCGTCGTAAGTAAATTAAATTAATGTTGTGCATATCAATGGCTGCATAATCATCAAGATTGGATTGTGGTCCTCTTCCATCACCTTTCTTACGCATTTTACGCTTCCTATCTTTACTCCCTTTTGTTGGGGCATCAATGGCCCCATCAGCCTCCAACCGGTTAACTTCAGTATCCACAACAGTCCCTTGGATATCATCTATTTGAGAATCCTCTTTTATAAGAAAATGAGACTCAATAAGTTTTAACATTTCAAAATGCGCCACGCGAGTTTTTCCAAAGATATTTGTAAGCCTTGCATCACAAACAATTTGACTTTTCCTACGAGGATCACGAAGTTTGTTTCTTTTTATGTATTCAAGCAACAAGGCCTGTACATCATACTGAGATAAAACAGATCTGTCACCATCTTTCATGTGCATAACAAACTCAAGAAGATCTTGTGATGCCCATTCAGTGTTGCCAGGTATAGCAGTCTCTTCAGCACCAATTGCTGCTGTTGAACTTGGTAAATCATCTTCCTTGGTGAGTGGTTTTGACCTTTTCTTGGACTGTCTTCTTTTACGCCTGACTACCTCTAGGTTCTCAGAACTGTCTGAGCCAGAACCTTGATCATTGTTAGCATCAAACACTTCCTCAGGTGATTCATGTTTGCCAGACAATAAATCAGATCCTTTCCATGGATTTTTAGCCTGGGCAAGTTCAACTGAAGATAGAGAGAGCTTTTGTTTTAAATCTATCCAGTAATCCTTGAAAAGATACTCCCAGCTGCTCTTGTCATCAAAATCTACTCGATCCTGCACAAGCACAAAGCCAAACAAAAGGCAAACCAGATTTTTATTTTTTTAACAGGTAAATCAGATTTAGATTAAAGAAGGTGCCAAGGGGGAACCATCCCTTCACAGCTCAAGCCTCCAAGGAGGCCAAAACAAAGACAATGAAATTGAATGATCCACACAAAACAGTAAACAAGATTTCATGGGCAACCATCAACATTCAACAATCCCTCCTCTACCTCCCTCTAATCCTGACCATTTATCTCTATCATCATAGGTGATCAAATTCATTAGCTCCATGCCACTACTCGCTTTGTTTCTCCCAATCCTAACAAAATTAACATCCATCTTGGCCTCTTTTTTTGCTTCAAATGCTGCAGACAGCTCTATAGCATAATTCACATGGAATTTAGAGAAATTTGATTAGACCTTCTACCCTCTTCATAATACACTCTGGCAGTTCAGTCCCATCTCCCACTTTTGTAGATAAACTAGCTTCCTGAAAATTCACCACCAGCTGATCAATGCTTTTCCCCCTATATATATATATATAAGCTGACTGCCCTGCCCTACTTGAAACTCATCCCTACTCTTCCAAAGCATCTAGTCCTTCAATACTAACATCCAGACAAATCAGAACCCTCTCAGCTTCTGCCTCCAACTCCTTTGTTAGCACTGCAGGAGGTTCCTCCCCCACCACCATTGCTAAAGACAGGCGGCCATCTATTTGCAGCAAATATTTCCTCCTCTGTAATCTCCCTTAGATTTAGCCCTTCACTAGCTCAAGGGCCAGCTCCCTTCCCAACATCCCACTGACATTTGGCTGGAACCAAAGCTCCATTTTCTTCTTATTTTACTAGCTTAACCAAACAAAAGTAAGGAAATTAGCTTCTCTCGTGTCATTTTCATTTATCCTTTTTTCCCTTTACGTTTCTTTTCCATAAACAAATACGAAAAGCAAACAGAACAATACTAAACAAGAGCATCAAATTACAAAATCCGTTCCACTTCCTAATTTATCCTTTTTAGATATAAGAAATACAGTTTCATCATATAGCGTTAACTTGTCAATTTTTCAAATGTTAAAACTGGAAATTTTATGTAGAATTTTCATAGTACCAATTAAACCAAAATATTTGAAATTGCTAGAATACAAAATATAATTACAGAAGTATTAAAATTTTAATTTGGACATTTGAATGGTCAAATTAGATGAGGCTTTTTATTTTATTTTATTTATGGAACTGAAATTGGATGAGTTGCTATTTGGTATGGTTATCAGATCTAACCAAACAAAGCAAGGACACCATGCAGTGAAGACTGAAATATCTATACTATACTATTATCTTAAGTGAAGGTTGGACTTGGTGTCCAAGCCTTTGTTTACTTGTCCTTATGCCAAGTGTCCCTCATTTTACTATCTAGGAAAAAAAAATTAGATAGATGGGAGGAGTGGGACTCAAAACTTGGACCTTGAGTCTACTGAAAGACTCTAACCACTTAAGTGGCACACAATATATAGTAAATATTTTGTTTTATTTTTACTTATTTGAATTTCACAAGTATCGCGTGTAACAACCGCTAGTATTCATAACAGGAAGAGCAAAAGTAGAGAGACAATAAAAATAAAAATAAAAACCATTCAGAATGTAAGAAAGGGTAAAAGAGCAACCAACTGGAGCATGTTTTAATTTTGATACATGTTTCACCAGCTGAATTACATTTGATTCCAAGTCCTTAAACTCTTACTCAAATAACTTCAGTAATCTCGGATGCAATTTCTTATAAAAATTTTGAAAGCAAAATAAAATAATAATAATAATAATAATTTCTATTACTTTGCTAAAGATACTTTTCGCATTAAACAAAGATTGACAACTATTCACTCAACTATTATCTGTAAAGAGACCTTTTCCAAGTATATGACATGTAAAAGGGTTTATCGAAATTCTATGAACATTTGACAGATATTTTAGTTGGTATATTGAAAAATATTAAATGCTCATAATAATAATAATAAGAATAAGAACAATAATAACCTTTGATAAGTAAATATAACTATTTCATTAATGGAACCAAACTAAAAGGGATGCAACTCTTGACAACACCAACAACAATAACAGACTTATCTATAGAGTTATAAATAGCATATATTAGATACGAAACTTTATCAGGATACTTTATGACCCAAAAAAAAATTATGTAAAAATGATTACTGAAATATTGACAATATGTTCAAGTTATTTGTCTAATAAAAAGTTATACACATACTAATACTAGTCGCATGGACATCAATATATCACCTTATAGGGTACCTTTTCACACAAAATATGTAAGGATTTTGAAATATTGACAACTTGTTTAAGATACCTATGTAGTGGTGAAAGAGTTACAACCATGCATACTTGTTTTAGTAATATCAGTATGGATAAGTCACTTAAAGGGTAGGTTTCATTTCCAAATGTCAATGGGTTTTTGGAAATAACAAAACCATCAACTAAACCAACCATCCTAACTTTATTGATAATCCCACTGGTTCTCTTGACTTTCATTTTTTTTAAAAAAAATTGAAAAGTAATTGTGCCTCTTAAGTTAAAATTTTCATGTGGAGTTTGTCTCATAGAAGTATGAGATGTTGATTTTCTTTGCTCTTTTGTTTTTATTTTCTTGGCAGACTCTTGTCCTCTTCTTGTACTTCTTTTTTCCTTTTTTAAAAAATGCCTTTTTGTTGCCAATCAATAATAATAATAACAACAACAATAATAATAAGGGGACGGCTAATGTCATGCACTAATTTGATGGTGGCATGAACATTACATTCATATGACATTTTTACCCCGAAGGCTCCAACAAATTGTCCCTTACCAGGCTCCCAAACCTTTAATGCAATTTCTCTCTCTACAAATCCCTTCAAATTTGGGATTTGTTCCTTCAGTCATCCTTTTCCTCCTTGCAAACCTTGTAATCAATCCACCCTTTTCTCTTTCTTTTATTTCTTCTCAATTTTTTTAAAATCTAATTTGAACAACTTAGAAAAGCACAATCTAGATTACAGAATTCTAAAATCTCTCAACCAATCGCAAGACCAATTTCTTTCTCTCTCTAGAGAATTGACTCACTTCCTCTCTCTTTGTGAAACAGTAGTAAAAATCTAAAAATGAGAATCCATTGAAGAAGGGGCCCGGTTCAACAGCTTCTCCCTATCACCATGTTGCTCCTTACTCTATCCATCTAGATGAAGTCGATGCCAAGGAGCAACATCAGCGGGTTAAGTGGGACAGCAATGCGAAGGATAGATAGTCTTAATTTTGTAGTGATAAAGAAGAGAACGTGAGAAAAACAACTCTTATTGTTTTCCCACTGCCCCAAGCACCAAAGTGACCAACCATTTCAAGTCAATGGTGCACCTCATTATTTGGGTCATCACCCATTTACCTCATCAGTTTTGCTGCTGATCTTGGACTCCTCTGTTCGCTTCTTTCTTCGGCTTCTTCCTTTCTATTAGATTTCCCTCTCATTGAAATTGGAACCCATTTTTGTCTCTACAAGTCTCTCTCACACTCTCTTTCTACTCATTTCTCTCACTACAAGCTCATTTCTTTTATCTTCATCTTCTGTGTTTCTCACTGGAAGTGGTGGTGACTTTGAACATAGCAGAGTGATTTTCACAGGTCATGAAAGAGAAAGAAGAGTGTTGTAAAGAGAGTGTTTTTTTTTTTTTTTTTTTTGAGACACCCATTTTGTCTTGGTTATTAATGAGATTTCAAGAATAGAGATATTGTGCAGGTTTGTCGGTAAGTGAGACTGCGAATAAGAAGGATGAGAGAGAATGAGTAAATAAGCAAGAAGAGGGGATACAAATGTCAGATCATAAAAAGTTTTGTGGCTAAATAAAAAGTTGCCATGGCATTATAATAATAATCACACCAAATATTATGGTTACATAATGCTATCCTTCCTATGAGAGTTTTACAAGGTATTGGAAAATTCTATAAAAATTGTTGTCTAACAAATAAAAAAGAATCATGAATAAATAGTCCGCTACACTTTTCCCACTTCGACTAAAACAATAGCTCTATTTGAACCTAGAAACTAAAGTAGCAAAATCCATCTAAACCAACAAATGGCTACACATTAAGAAAGAATTGAAAATCAACACACGAGTTGTTGCTATCACAAACTATGTAGCTCTCCTTTGCATCATCCCATTGTCCTTGCTTTGGTTTCTCAGTACGCCTCACCCCCAATTTTGGGCAAGACAGTTGTTGGTCCTTTGAATTGCTAAAGTGGCTACATGATAAAGTGGTTAAATCTACAATCCCCCTCATGTATTGTAAAAGCACAAACCAATCTAAACAATTCTAAAAGGGACCATTATAAGAATCACTAATGCTTTTCCAGTTTAATATAGTTTTTAGACCACTCATGGAACAACCTCCGAAACCGGCAACCTTGATAGAAAAACAAGCTGCTGCTATCACAAACTATGTAGCACAAACACAAATTCAAGACACAAGATGACACAGAGATAGAAAATCCAACAAAAAATTGAAATGTGGACATAACAAGCACAGTAATATATAAATATATTCATGTATTTATATTGCACAAGAAATGTGTATAATATGTTATATATTCTATAAGAAAACTATATTGCTAAAATGATAATCTAAATAGTTATAAACACAATTGCAAAATGGGGAAGATGAAGCTCCATTTGGGATGTGTGTAACATTTCAAAGAATATTAAACATCACCCTTGGTGAGAGATTCACCAAACAGGTGTTTTTGTCATCCTTGGGGAGTGTCCATAAAACACATTTTTGGGGAGTGTTCGACAAGTGTCAGTTGCCAATGTGCGTCCAGCACAAACACAACTTCTCACTAAAAGTATCTATGATAGTTAGACCTCCGTGCCTTAAAAAATTAAAAATTACCAACATAACATTTAACCCAAAGCATAATATAAAATTGGACTAGCCTCATAAACTGATAAAAAATAAAATAAAAGAGCATGAAAAGAAACTCAACGAAATATTGAATTATTCAAAATCCCAAGTGGATCCTGCCTTGGAAAAAAACAACATATAACATTTCTCTCTACTATAATTTTGCATTTCCTTCACCTCTTATGGATTGCATCACTAATATGAGTTCCAAATGTATCAACACACCCAATCCAATATATGTTTTGATGTTCCTCCACAGCATCCAAAGTACTAGTGCATAAGGTGAACTAAAAAACGGGTTTAAAATAACAATAATAATAAGCATTAACAATGTCGCCATAAAACAACTTAGCATGAAGAAAATGATAGTTGATCATAAAATATCATACATTATATTACTGCAACAAATTCCTCTCTTCTGATCCACGAGAACAAGAATAACCCATCCCATCAACTACTTTTCCCCCTCCCCTCCAAAAATATCCAAAAGCAAAAAACCATATAACCAACCAAAAAAGAAGAAGAAGAATAAAAAGACCAAGAGAACAGTGTATATACCTCCTTATTAGCCTGCTCATTATTTTCAATCAACAACACAGTTTTCATGCAAGTCTCACAAAAGCCTTTGTTGCCTCTAACACATAAGATAACAGCATCTTTAATGCATGCCTTGCACAAGGAAAATGTACATGTAAAACACATATAGTGTGCATTCTTCTCACATATGCTGCAAAGATGCCAACCTGAAAATGGACAAAATCCACTTCAAAGCTGAAATAATCAATACATATATCAAAGAGCACATATGTAATATGCAATATTGATCCACAAAATGGCACCTAGAAATACATGAATTGCATGACAGTAAGGGAACTCATAGTTCAGTGTCATCCTTTGTCAACCAATCATCTTGTAAAAATTGATGTATTATTGATTGATATATATTGATATGTTACAATGGATTGATTATATAGATGTAGGTTAGGTGGTGGTAGGTGAGGAGTAGGTGAGTGTAGTAGGTGAGTGTGTGGTAGGTGATGGTAAGTGTGTGGTAGGTGATGGTAAATTCTAACGGCCCCCGCAAACTAACTTGAGTTTGAAGAGAGGAACAAAACAAGAAAATACATAAAAATAAAAAAAAAAAGGTAGGAGACACTGTATGTTGATATATGATTCTGTTACAATTGATTGATTATATAGATGTAGGTTAGGTGGTGGTAGGTGAGGAGTAGGTGAGTGTAGTAGGTGAGTGTGTGGTAGGTGATGGTAAGTGTGTGGTAGGTGATGGTAAATTCTAACACATCTCCTCATAGTTCAGTGTCATCCTTTACAACAATTATGAAACTAAGGCTAGAAAAGCATAATTCTATCTCTGAACAATATAGTATGCTTCAAAATGGTAAAAGAGTGGCTTCCAGCCCTTCAATTATTCATACAATGATCATCAAAATTGGATGAGTTTTTCCCTCTCCACATTAAAAAGCAATTAAAGAAATCAAAAAACAAAGTCGCCCAACAGTTAACTTAGAAGGCAAACAATAGAACTAGAAAGTAGAAGACCTAGTTCGAATTCCCATTGGAACCAACACCACGAATTTATCAAGTAATTGTCCCTCCCTTGTGAGTGATATGGGTGAAAAACATGCCCGAGAGCTAGTTGGGTGCTCTAAGAGTCCTAGACATCATGTTAACCAAAAGATAAAAAACATAAGACAAAATATCTAAAGCTTCCTTTGTGCAAGTCGAAATTTACTTCTCCTGGTACCAATATTAGTTCAGGTACAACTTGATGAAATTCAAGGACCAACAAGGTTGATGCCATACATGCATCTACAGATGACAGAATTTGACAAGCTTTCAAAAATGCCCTAATGAGTTTTTCCTTCTTTTTTTCCTGGAACTTGCATTACCAAAAGATATTCACTTGCAGTTAACAACCAATCACTTCTAAGATGATGACACTCCTAATGAAGGACTGGCAAGTTCTTTGACCAGCTTGTCAATGTTAGAATCGTGTGCTGGACAGGGTCTCCAGTGGAACTCCCCGTTCCGTGACACCAATCCACTCCTTCAAATTTTTGCCCTTATATACTTTAAACCTTCTAACAGACAATAGAAGAAAAGTAACAAGTTTAATACATATGAGATATGAATTAAAAAGCACAGGGATGTTGGAGCTTTTGAATGTCTTGAATACTTGTCAACCAGAACAAATCTTCAATCTATTCATGTTGAAACAAATCCCAATGTCTTTTGTGGGTACTTGTATCAAGCCCAATACATGGCAAGCCCTACAGGTGCCACATCACCAAAACCTCACACGTGACAGACCAATAAGGGACCACGCGGGTATGTCGTATGTTTGATACATGGCGAGCCCTACGGGCGCCATGTACTTAGGCACTACGTAAAACCAAGACTATATGCTTAGCCTAAGCAGAAGCATCCATATAAGCCCAAATATATCCAAATATGAAGAGTCCTGCACCAGGCAGCACCATGGCCCCGCAGAGCCCATGGTCCTTCATACCTCGCTCCAAGACTAAACAACAATACAATCAACCTCCGGCTCACTTAAACTTGGATTGATAAACAATGGCTCTCCTAAACATTGAGATAGGCCTGCGGCCCATTCTCCTACTTGGTTGCTTAGAAGCAAGCCCCTCTCGTAAACATTGAGATAAGCCCGCGGCCCATTCTCTTACTTGGTCGCTTGGAAGCGAGCCCCTAGCTCTCCAAAACACTAAGGTGGGCCCTGGCCCATTTATCTACTTGGATGCCTGGGCTAGGAGCAGGACCCAGGCACTACTGCTCGGGATCATCAGAGGATACTGGACTGGCGGCTAAGGTCATGGGATAGTCGAGATGGTTGTCTTCTTGCTAAGACAACTCCATCTCGACCAAGCTTGGAGGAGAGGCAACAATAACCTTACATTCATGTCATCCGATGCATATATGAAACGTTACTTTCCGCCTGCCATGAAACGTTCCTATCTGCCTACCGTCAAGCCACAGACAGCAGAAGGGCTTATATCACTTCTGGTAGAGTTGAGGAGAACGAGCCACCTGTTCAACAGTTTACTTGGGCTCCAATACTCCTGTGGCCTATATAACGTAGCGTATATGCAGCAAGACACAACAACAACACAACTCTATAATTCTAACACAACCAAGTTTCATGTTTAAACATCCTCTCTCACACTCTACATTAGTGTTCAAGGTCTATCGCTGCCAACCTCTCCCTCTTCAAGCTTGCCTTGACCTCCTCCTCTCCACCTCCAATGATCTCAGGCCATTGAAGTGCCCGCCATCTTCCCGGACTACCTCTAACCACACCACTGATCCACATCTTTCAAAACACAAATCAATCCATTCAAATACTTGTAAAACTACAAAGGCAATCTAAAAAACCAAAAACCACCATCAGTAAACAGACATTGATCACACAAGAACCAAGTGTTGGAGTGGGTTGAAGTAATATGCAAGTATAAGATAATAACAGAACAAAAGCAAAATTATAATGCAACTTATATCAGTATGTAATGTTGACTGAATTAAAACACCACGTGATTATAAGAGGTACTGAAGATCAACACAGAACAACTTACCACAATTCCAACGACCCTTAGCTCGAAAGAATGCCTCATCCCGATTAACACAAGAAGGGTGATACGCCTTTGGGCATCCCCTACAACCCGAAGAACAAACTCAATTACAATATATAAACACACACAACATAACAGAAATGCAACAAAAACAACAGTTATAAATCCTAGAAAAACATGTTCCCAAATTTGATAGCACCCACCTGCGGTCACATAGCACAAGGTCTCCACCGTCAAAGCAAATGAAACAAACATCTTCTTCAATGACCTTCCTAGCTGGAGGAGCTCTAGTCGAAGCCTTAGAATTCTTCCCTCTCTTCCGCTTCCCCGCACCACCAACTCCTTTCTCTGTCTCTGTCTCTGCCATTTCTGCAACATCCATTTCTATCTCCATTTCAGTGTCCGCCATTGGAGTTTCGTCCTCCTCCTCCTCCTCCCCTGCCTCGGCCCCGGCCTCCACCGCCACGTCTTCATCATCGTCATCATCCTCATCATCTCCGGCTACAATCGGTGACTCAGCACCAATATTATGCAAATTGTCCATCTCCGGAATAGAGCTCGATCCAGCCTCATTTCCCATCTCAGTATCTGTGTCCATTTCCGTATCTTCCACCCTAGTCTCCCCTTCTGCCATGGCTTCCTCGTCTGAATCTTCTTTGGCAGCAATGGACGACTCTGCACCAACCACCTGCGAATCTTCTTCTAATTCAGGACACTGTACCTCAACCTCATTTTCAGTTCCCACCTTTGGAATTTCCTCCTCATCCTCCTCCACCACCACCACTTCATCCACAATCGGTGACTCGACACCTACAAGCCGCGATTCATTCAACCCAGGAACAGGTGAATTAGCCCATTCAAGTTGCGAATCGTCCAAGTCAGGTATAGACTTTCCCAAGCCGATTTCCAACTGCTCAGCCTCAGCCTCAGCCTCAGCCTCAGCATCAGCCTCCCCCTCCGCCTCAACGTCTTTTGCCGCATTTTCCGACTCATCGCCAACAAGTTGCGAATCAACCAACTCGGACACAGACTTGTCTACGTCACCTTCAACTCCACCGTCTTTGGCCGCATTTTCCAACTCATCGCCAACAAATTGCGAATCAACCAACTCGGACACAGACTTGTCTAGGTCACCTTCAACTCCACCTTCTTTGGCCGCATTTTCCGACTCATCGCCAACAAGTTGCGAATCAACCGACTCGGATACAGACTTTTCTATGTCACCTTCAACCTCATCTACCACATCATCAACATCTTCGGCCGCAATAGGCGACTCTGCGCCAACCATCGCCGAATCATCCAACTCCGCCTCCGCGGCCACCGTCGACACCGCTTCATCCGCCACTGGTTCAACCGGCGATTTGGCAGCAAGCAGTTGGTAATCACCTAACTCAGGAAGAGACTCGGGAACAAACTGGCATTGTTCGGTGTTAGTGAAATCTAATGGCTTGTCTTCCATAGTTGAGAATTCGACTTCTGGAGTCAAAGAAGGTTCGTTTACGTTCTTAGCTACCTCCTCGTCTTCCATGTAACAAATTCAAAACCCTAACCCTAGGTTGTCGTATACATAAATCTATACATATAAAATTGTGATAGGTGATTGAGAGATGATTATCGTTGTTGTCCACAAGCATAAACGAATGCGTTTGTATGCGTATTTGATAAGCCTCTAAGCGTAAAATATATAGAGAGAGAGAGAGACAGATATTGAGAGAGAGATTGATGAAATCTGCATAAACAAACAGAGAGCTGTTCGGGAGGACCTTAGGTTTTGCCGTTTCGCAGTCGAAAAACGTCCAGGTTTCTAGTTGAAATATCCAATATGCCCCTGTCAATGGGTCCAATGGGCTGACAGCAACTCACAGTGGTGGGCTGGGGTGGTTATGGCTTCGCTTGGGCTTACGAGCCAGGACTAATTTGCAACTGTCCTCGTTCTATTGAATTGGGCTTGCGGCCCCAATAATTTTATTTTTGGCCCATAATTAAATTTGAGTTGCGGAAGTATTTATATTTTTTTTCGTACAACATGAATTAGTATGTTAGTAGTTAGAGATTACAATTAGAGCCGTGTAAAATACCGTTCATTCTCAATCTATTAAACTACATCAATTCGCACTACTTTATTTGTTAATCGCAGATTAAACTTTAAAATTTATAATCTGTCTTCGAAATCACTCCACTCCGGTATAGTTAATACGTATATATTTTTTAACATCTAATAAAATATCAAAGTAAAAATGAGTGTAAGAGAGATTTAAGATATAAAATTTGTTACAAATTAGTAGTTATATATATGAAACATATTGTGTAAAATTAGTTTTTGTTATATATATGAAAAATATTATGTAAAATTAGTATTATATATTATGCAAATGTTTGATAATTAGTTAGAATATTCTTCAATCTATCAATTCACCCAAACTGCTATTTATCAATATGTTAATTCACTCTTCGATTTGTAATTTTACTACAAAATCATCTGAACTGCACCACGCACACCTCTAATTACAACACAAACCAACATCCCTCTCCATAAACTTGAACTTGAGATCTCACCCACCTTAGGACTTAAGTTCCCTCTCCATCATCACTTGAGCAATTGTCTGATGTCATGAAATATTTATCAGTTTGGTCTGATTTTTTTAAACGGTTTTTAAAGGAGTTTTCGTTTGTTTTATTGGTTTTCTTTAATATTTTAGTCAATCTTTTTTTACACAATTACGACTAAATAACAGCAAAAATATATTTTTCCCCAAAAAAAAAAAAAAAAAAAAAAAGATAAAATATGAAAATAAAAATTTACCAAAATATAAGAAAACTTGAACAAAAAACTGTGTGTTCTTGGACATATATATTTCTTTCATTTTTTTTTTTTTTGCACATTTTAGTCTTTTTTTTTACTTTTTAAAAGTATCTAGATTAGGCAGACCTAAAGGTCTCATTTGTTTGACTCCATAGGATAAAAGGGATTAAAAGTACGGTAGAATTAAGTGAGAAAATTATTAGTGTGATAGCATTAGATTGGAGATGTAAGATAAAGAGTCATTATTTGTACACCACCAAATTAGTAGTACTATAGATAATATTAATATATAAAATTATTATTTTTTCTTTTTTAGTATTTATTAATATTATAATAATTATTATTTTTATACTTTTTAAGTTCACTTAATCTAGACACTTAAAAAAAATATAAATGTTGCATAAAAATTATTTTTTAAAAAAAATCCATATTTTTATAGTATTCATTAAAAAAATTAAATATTTCTTTCTCAAATAAATTATTTGAAAAAAAATAATATTAAAAATATTTTAATCTATTTTATTTAATACTTTAGTATATACATATTGCAAGGCATAGATGTGGGGGGGAAAAAATCACTCTTTCAAACTTGCCACGTTTTCAAATAACCATACTTTTTGCACACAATGAGTCAGAATTTTAAAAATAAAAATAAAAAAAATGTCTAGAAAGTATTGCTGAAGTTTGCACGTGAGTTGCACTAGACATTACCTAAAATGTGTATACTCTCAAATGATTCCATTAATTACAGTACACCCCAGGACAGGATAGTCCCCCATATGGGGGACATGGAGTCCGGCCGGACATGCAGTCCGCCGGACTAAAAAAAAATCAAACGACGGATAAGGAGGGAGGCCGGACATGGAGTCCAAATAGTGGATAGTCCCCCCCCCTATCCCCCCAATCAAACACACCCTTTGAGTATTAATCCTATCACAACCTTTCACAATTAAACACTTTCTATGTGGCTCTCCCTCACTATTAGTTTTTCTGAGCACAGCAGAGCTTACACAACACACGCCTTAAAAAAAGCATGTGCAGGTAAGATGCCATATACACACGCACACCCAACTGGCTATCCGATGTGGGATAGCCCCTGCCCAAGACCACCCCGCCCAGAAGCCCCGTCCCGAAACGAGGCCCTAAGAGGGCTGGCAGCAGAGCCCACAGCAGATGTCCAGTCCAAAGCATATTTGTTTTGAGCACAGCAGAGCTTACACAACACACGCCTTCAAAAAAGCATGTACAGGTAAGATGCCATATACACACACATGCCCTCACTATTAGTTCGATTCCCTTACTCATTGAATCAAACAAATATGACCAAAAGGTTAAGAATAATTGATTAAAATATGAAGAAAAAAAATATATTAAAAACAAATGAAAACCAGTCTACAAACAGATTTTTGCAAAATCAAACCAGATATGAATTAGTTAGGTTTAACATCTGAGTTCAAGTTTCAAGATGTCTCTCTCTCTCTCTCCCTTGTGAAAAAAATTGTCAAATTGACCAGGCGAAAAAATATTTATGTTATTTCAAAATTGCAAATACAATTCTACAAAAGGAAAAATCTTGATGGAAAAAGAGAAAGTCAAATCACTACATCGTAAAAATGTGAGATTGTTTAATAAGGACTCGTTTGGGGAGTGACTATTTTAGCCAAAAAGTCAACTAAAACTAATCACATCACCTCTCTATTTTTCTACACATCTTTTTGTAAAAAGTTAAAAAATTACTAAAATAGCATGTTCCAAACGAGGCCTAAGTGCTAAATAAATGTATTTTTTAATATTTTATGAAAAAATGTGTAAAAAAATAAAAATATAATACGACTTAAAAAATATAAAAATATAAAAAATGCTATTGCAATAATTCCCAAACAACCTCGTAGCCATGCAATTCATTTGTTCCTTTTGACTTCCCCTACCTCAATTTTTTTTCCTATTTTTTTTATTGTTGTTTTTTTTTTCTCAAATTTATAGCAATTTTTTTTCCCAAATCCATGTAAAAAAATATAAAATTTTATGAAAACATCACTAAAACACATCTTCACAGACTAAAAACTACAAGATCATCCAAGTCATTAGGGGGTGATGGAGGGATCGTACCATTGGAGCATTTTTTTTCATGCTTTTCCGAGAAGAGTGAAGAAAAATTGCAATCGATAGAATTTCATTAATCCTCCCTTGAGGAAATGAAGCCACCTGTACAAGAAAAAAAGAACAGCTAGCTGCTATCAGCTACATTTAGGTAAAGCTACATAATACTCGGGAGAGTCGAGAGCGATTCCCAATATCCCTCAGGTCGCGCGACTAGCTATTTTAATATTTTAAAGGGTGAATTATATTAATAGTTTTTATAATTTAAAATTTGTGTCATTTTAATTTTTGATTTTTCAATTGTAATATATTTGATCTTAAATTTTAAATTTTGTTTCAAATAAGGATAATTGAAGATATCATTAGATTTTTCAAGGGTAAAATCGTCAATTTGAAAAAATATAAACTAATTTGACAAAAATAAATGTCAAACAAATATTTTTGAATTTTTAAAAATTATTTCTACCCACTAAAATTAAAATTATGTAAAATTGATAAATCTTTTAGACATTTATTATTTTTTTTTTACCAAATTAATTTTTATTATGTATTTGGATGATGATCATGTAAAATTAATTTTAAAAAATTAATCATGTAATTTTTATCAATTTTACATAGTTTTATCATTGGTGGATAAAAATAATTTTTTAAAAATTAAAAATATTTTTTTAACATTTATTTTTGTCAAATTAGTTTATATTTTATTAAATTGACGATTTTGCCTTTGAAATTAAAGAATGATATCTTCAATTGTCCTTATTTAGAACAAGAGTCAAAATTCAGGGTTAAATATGTCACAATTGAAAAGTCATGGACCAAAGTGACACGAATCCCAAACTATAGGAACTGTTAGTGTAATTTGTCATATTTTAAAATACTCAGTAAAAACGACAACAACAATGATGACAAAAAAAAAACAACAAAAAATAGTTACTAAACAAAACTAATCTCTGTAGGAAATGGTTCAAGAAAAGAGTTAGAAAATTCGAAGATCCTTGAAGAACAACTTCGAATTCTCTAGAAGAAATGTGAGAGGCTTAGATTCTTCAATGGTCTCAACTCAAGAACACAAGAGTAAAGGAGATGATGGAGATAAGTACCCTTTCGAGTCCGGGCCCGATTAAGTCTCTAGGTTCGTGGATTCGAACCCTTTCGAGTCCGAGTGCCTCGGATCTCTAGGCATTCTTAATACCCTTTCGAGTCCGGGCTTGAGTAAGTCTCTAGGTTCGTGGATCCGAACCCTTTCGAGGCTTAGAGCGATTCAATCCGTTTGATGGCGATAAATCTGGGCCCACCGATTCTTGGACTTGCGATAAATTCGGACCCACTAATCTTGGGCTATTGGGCCTAAATAATTTTAGTGGGCTCAAATTAGCCCCCTCTTACAATCTCAAACACACAAGATTAAATCTAACCCAAAAGTATCCACTTACCACCACCAACATGCACTGCCTCAGACCATCTCCAATGGTTCATTAAATTCATCGTTAAATTTGAATTTGGCGAAAAAGAATAGCTTTTTTGTTTCTAACAGTTTCATCAAAACGATATCAAATTGAGAATGAGCCAAATTTTTCACAAAACTGAGGATGCTGTTGCCTTTCAGCAAAACACTGCTCATTATCGTTATATACAAGATGACCCACCAAATGTCCCCCCCGATGTCCTTTTGGATGAACACCTTCAGCAAAATTTTGTACAGATTTTACATTGGGAGGTCAACCCCCAAGATGACCCCTCAAACTTGAAAATGTGAGAAAAAAATATCAACAGTATACCTTAGTAACAAAGCTGAAGAAGAGATAAATAATCAGCCAAACAAACACATATAAATCTCCGTAATGATGTATAATCAAAAACCTAGATGTAAGAACTCTATTAAATTCGAAATCGATCAACCAATAACACTTTGTTTGATGCAAACATAGAGTCGATGTAGCTTCGTTGCCGACTAGACGATTGGGAGAGAGATTTTGACATAAAATTTCAAAGAAAATTTGTTTGGAAGTAGAGAGAAAGAGAGATTTTGGAAAGAGAATAGTAGATGTGATATGATTTTTGTATTGAAAGCTTCCAAACACAACACGACAGCCCCAACACAACACAATAACCCCAATTGTTTCATAATAGGTTTTTCATTTTTTGCATTGACTGGTAGACTAGCCGGTCGTCCGCCCAGTCGACTAGTGATTTGATGAAAATTCATATTCTTCCGTTATAGCATGCGATATCAAATAGAGAAAATCGTTTTTATTTTACTCAAATTTAATGAAAAGTCTGATGAACCGTTAGAGATGCTCTCAGATGAGAATGTCATCCCTGATAAAGCCTTTCAAATCAACACACCAAAAACCACACTGATTTCTAGGAACACAAGAATCAAATTCACAAAAGACCCAACAAAACAAATTGTGCCTGAGGTAATTTCATCATCAGCTATCATAGTTACCATACGGCTGCTTCACCTGCAGGCTACAGAATTACGAACTGTTCAAGTACAAACAAATCCATAACTAGTTAACATCAAATGTTCCAACTCGTTTTCAGCAAAAACTATAAAAGTTCTGAAAATTCAACTCATAAATAGGAGGTTTCAACCAAACTAACACCCAGTTATTCTGAAAACCAAATAAGCAAATACTAGTAATCCTTAAGTGAAAAAGCATAAAATTACTTTCACCAATCAGTATCTCCTGGGAAAGCGGTCCATGAACCTTCCTGAGGGGCACTCGAATGCAAGGTGTCCTCTACCCCCACAATTGTGACAGATCATCAAAGGGCCCCCCATGCAATCTCGGCTCATATGACCAGGCTGCTGGCAACTCCGGCATATAATGTCTCGATAACCACCAATACGAGGCCCACCACCCCTCTCTTCAATAGCATTGGACTTGGGGCATTCTCTAGCCACATGACCAGAAACATTACACAAGTTGCAGACGGGTTCATTCTGACATTCACGAGCAAGGTGACCTGTTTTCCTGCAGTTCTTGCACGCCTTGTCATTTGTACAGTCAACGGCAATGTGACCTTGCTTGAAGCAGTTATTGCACAACCTCATGTCGCCAGGTGGCACTGGGGGAGCTGTGCAGTCTCTAGCACGGTGTCCTGTCTTGCCACAGGTGTGGCAGATGCCCTCGTTTGGACAGTTCCCAGCCATGTGACCAGGTTCACGACAGTTCCAACAGAGCGATTTCGTGGTGCATTCTGATGCAATATGCCTGGTTTACATTTTCGAATGCGTGATTAACATAGACATGTTAGCGGTGGCAGTGATTATGATGATGATGACGACGATGATGACAATAAAAATGTAATTTGTGGGGGGGGGGGGCAACGTTCACAAAGCAAGGGTGTGGAGTCCCTCAACCCACACCCACCGCGTGGCCATCCATCTGTACATAATTGAAACTGAGCTCAATTAACATTTTTGTGCCGCTCTAAAAGTTTATTAACCAATAACAGAGACTCCCCATGGACCAGGACCAGGACCAGCACCAGCACCAGCACCCGGACACAAACAAATGAACAAAAGAAAAGTCCAACATCATGAGCATAGTTTTTAAAGGAACACTTAGGTGGCAAGGCATATGAAGGCATCAACTGAAGGCTTTGCTAGGGTTCAAGCGAGGCCAATTCAAAAAACCACATGCGAAGGCCCAAAGCACCTCAAAGTATAGGATTCAAGCAATTTTAACAAAGCCTAAGAAGGATGATTGAAGCTCTGCTTCAAAATAAAGTTCTATGCTCTCCATCATAGAGGCCTCAACATTCAAGCAATGAAAGGTATGACATTATTACAGAAGTAATCAAATACATAATGAGTATCTAGCCTGGAAAACAGTCCAGAAAATGACTCCCACCCCCACCCAAAAGAATAAATATAAAAATAAAATAAGATTTTAACAGTAGACCACCCATTTCCTTCCCTATTAAAAATGCCTCGAGTTGCACAGGTAATTTATATTATACCCATCTACCAAGTTATAAGTCCAAGCTATTGTATGATAACCACATATTTGGTAGACCAAAAAATGACAATTAAGTTATAGTGCTAACAACAAACGCATAAATGAACAGAAGTTGCATTAAGCCTCTAGAGGCACCAAAAGAGCAGAGAATATCATGTACCCCTAATGCAAGAAGTGACAGGATTTTTTAAAGGAAAAATATCAAACAAGTCCTACTTTTCCAATAAAATTTACATTGAGTCTGATTAATGTTATATTGAGACGATTGATTATGTGTTAATATAACTCAATGGAAAATTTTCAAAGAAATAGTAGGACTAGTTTGATATTTTTCCCTTTTTTTATAACCCCTCTGTAGAACTGCCACCACGGCATGCTAAAACAACACAAACTATAACATATTAATGGCAAGTGAACTCATGAAATAAAAAGGGATATGCAAGTCTAGAATTTGGAAGTGCTATCGGATGCATATGCGTTGGATTACCAAAAAGTGCATGACTAGAATTCTTACCCTGGAAAACCACAATTGTGACAGATTGCCACATTAGGGCATTCTCTGGCATAATGACCTGGCTGTTTGCAGTTTTTGCACAAATTGCTCTGGCTGGAATAAATCAAAAAACAATTATTGCTCAGAAAAAAATTGAACAGCATTGTAGAACTATGCATTCAAGAACCAAACTTTTGTAAAACTCCTTGCCTGATTCATCATATGCTGCAGATCACAGGTTTAAAAAAACAAACAGCATGACAGCAGCAAAGTAACGGAAGCAATTTTTTCAACTTCTTTTGGGCAAGTGATGAAATAAAGGACAGGTTCACAGTTAACAAAGACCAAAACAACATTAAAGCAACCTGACACCCTCTACTTCCCAAGAATCACAACTTTCCAGACCCCATCTCAAGGAAACAAAAATTTAGCACCAGTTTTTTGGTCGTTGTTTTTGTTTTTGTGTGTGTGCAAGCATTAAAATAAACACATAATATATATACACACACAATAAAAGATCTTAATATTTACAAAATTCAGAAAACATTAATACACATGGATTAGCAGTAATGCTTCCATTAATTATTCAATTCAAAAGTGGTATTGCATAAAAATTTCTGTAGCCAAAATATAACATAGATAAACCATACAAGATGTTAACAGTAAAGCAATATTAAGATTGGCCCATGCACATAGCTTTTGAAGTTTTTAAACATGTTGCAAACACAGTTTGGATATTTGAAACCATGGACCTTGCAATAAGTATAGCAGTCATCTAGATATACTCTGGTATAGACAAGTAAATTCAAATATTTAAAAACAAGAAAACATAGCAATATTATGTTAGTATTCAGACACAACACCATGAGAAATCAATTTCAAAGGTCCTCATAGTCATATACAGAAGCGTCATTCGTCATATGTGTGAAATTTGTCATCTTCCATGACTATCTCTAGCAGACCTCACATGTAAGAGTTATTTTGCTTCCCAGCCGGCATATCTTTACACATAATAGTCAAATGGAGAAAAATAACAACCAACAAATGATTGAAACCTAAACCACCTGAAACCCCGCCGATCCCTCCTGTAAGGTGCATCACGATACGAATGCCGTACAGTACGGATCTTGCGATCCATTGGGCTCCTGCTCCTGCTCCTGCTGTCCGAGCTCATATTCAAAACTATTGCAATTGACAAAAGCACCACCGATCTGCAAAAACACCACCACCACCACCACCACCACAGCCGCTGCCTCCTCCCTGTCCACATTACAACCACATCCAAGACCATATCCATAAGTCCAAATAAAACTCCTACTTTCCCCTTCATATATAAAACACCAGAACCCCTACATTAAAGGACACGCGCTTTCTATATGCAAACCACCTTGCATCTATTTTTTATCACTATTCTTGGCAGCAAGAGATTGCTGACTTGAAAAGAACCCAATTCTTCTACCACATCCTTGGTAAGAAAATTTGAAAGTGGCATAAACTATTGGTAGTGCACGTGGTAAATCACATGGGAAAATCACAAGTATTTGAAGAAAAGCGTTTTACCTTGTATTATAGAAAGTGGCCTCATTGTTTTAAGAACATGCGTTCCACAAAAACGGTTTTGATCAAGATAAAGAATATAAAATTATATTGCAACCTTAAACTAATGAAAGCTCCTTCTATTCAAAATGCTCAATTCAAAAAATGGGGTAAAAACTAGGGCCTCAAGCTTTAAAAGCCAAAAAGACATGCAAATAATCAATTAGATGCTAAATTGCTTGCCTGCCTTTTTATATTATTTTTTTGTACAACATTTTGTTAAACCCGAGCTAATAGTTCTTTATCCCAAAGATAGATGAGATGGTTAAAATAAAAACCCCTAAAATCATCTCTTTCTCTTTCTCGGCATTGACAGGTACCAAAAATGTATACATTTAGGCTTCCTAAACTATGGTTGCTATGTCCATAATCATTGTTATTTGATTATTCTAATAGATTTATGTGTATTGTAAGTCAATCGAGTCCTTGCGATATAAATATGTCTAATCAGGAGTACTACAAGACAAAAGCACAAGACAAAACGAAGTGAAGAAGCTCAAAGCTACAGTGCATATGTGAGCCCGGACACAGGTCATGGTGAACTCAAGCGCACACCAATGTGTATATTGTCCATGTGAACTTGGGCATAGGTCGTGACGAGCACAGGCACACCCCTTGCAGAAGAGAGCTCTGAGTGAGCTCGAGAACAAGTCATGGTGAGCCTAGGTGCACGATACATGGAATTGGTATGAACTTAAGTGAAACACGTGAAATTTTGACTAAAAGTGGTGGCGTTTAAGAGAAAAGTACAATAGGACTTCTCAACTTGGTTTTGGGGTTTCGAATATTGTGCAAGAGACGGCTTGACGCTAGAGAGAAGTTTCTACCATCAATCCATGGCATTCTTCTCAACTATCGTGAATTCTACCTTCTCCATAAGCACCTAAACTCTCCTCTTAGGATCAAAAAGAAACCCTAGTCAAGTAACGTGTATTGATGTATTGATATTTTAGTTTTTATTTGATTTGGGTAATTGTTGTGTAACATTTTAAGATATTTTATTCAAGTAAAATTTTATCCAATTAATGTATTTGATTTCTGTTATTGAAAATACATGGTTATGCAATTGTTTTCTTTGTTTGTATACACACCATAAAATAAGTCATGCCTGAGGAAGACGAGTCGTGCCACAAAACTAGTATTCTATTATAATAAAAATAACATTTTTTATTTTTCCAAAAATGCCCTATCACTTCCAATAACTTCCACATTGAATAACTCATTAGCATCTCCAGTGGTTGGACACATAAAGAGCTAGTTATTGCTTTAATTTAGCAATGAATAGTGTTAAAATATTTAATTTTAGCAATTTTACTCCAATGATACAATGTAAAAAAATTTAACTTTTGACACAAAACATCAAATCGAAATGCTATATATGTGGATCCCTAGAGGAGAGAGAGATACACAAAGATTTTAACTATAGGTAAAACTTGTGCTATATGTTTACCTATAGGTAATATATAGCAAGTCATATGCCTTGAAAGTTTGGAAGCTTTTTTAAGGCAAAATGTAGCAATAGCAAGCCATATAGCACACCATTGGAGATGCTCTAACAGTTTCTATCATTCATCACCAAACATTCCAAAATAACTAAAACGATTTTCCTGATTAAAAAGTTTGAACAGCTGTTAAAAGGATTTCTCATTTATCAAACATTAATACAAACGCATCGCGTTTGCACCCACCGCTAATATATATCAATATTTACACATATAAATCTGTCAAATACATAAATTAGAAGATGGAACAATCAATTGATACATAACAGAGAACAGTTATTTCTCAATTTTTTTCGAGTAAGAACCGGGCCAAATCTCACGAAACAAACAGATCAGAACGCCTAATTTATCAATTCGAATAAAATTGAACCACAACCGAAATCGTAAAGAAAAAATCCTAATAAACCAAATTGAAATCAGACTACGATTCAACCAATATATATATATATATATAGAGAGAGAGAGAGAGAGGGAAGAACCTGGTGTGATGCCTTGGTAACTGTCGACCTTGAGCTAATTGTGGGTGCAGAGTTAGGGAGAGAGAGAGAGAGAGGGAGAGAGAGGATCGAACGAGACCGAGAAGAAAGCCGCCAGTCGCTGTATTATCTAATCTAAACCTAAAATCGCCCCCTTGTTAAATTCCGAACGGATTTCAGGTCCGCTCTTTTTGTTTTTTTTCCTTTTTTTCTTTTTGTCTTTTATCTATTTTATCAAAATAGCCTTATTAAGGCACCGTTTGGAAAGTGATTTTATGGACTTTTTTGGGTTATTTTAGTCACAAAAGATAAAATAGACTATTTTAGTCATAATAAATAAAATATTATATCAAATTTATAATCATTATACTCTGTTCTCACAAAAAAAGTCAAAAACCCTTTCCAAACCAAACTTTTTAGCCCAGGCTAAAATAACAAAAAAAGTCAAAAAGTCAAAAAACCAACCTACTTCCCAAACCAAACCTAAGTTTGGCATCAAATATTAAATTTAAATTTGATAAAAAAAAAAATCTTAAAAAATGAGTTTCAATATTTTCATAGGGGAGAAGTAGATATTTTATCAAATAGATGGAAATTTTATCTTTTATAAAATTTAAATAACTATCGTTGCACCGGATGTGCACCGAATATAATTTAACAATTTTTTTGTTTATGACCAAATGACCGTCAAGACCAACGCCCAGACATCTTTCCGGACAACTGGAGATGTGAAAAAATATAATAAAAATTATAATTTTAATATTGGAATGAATGGTATTAAAACAAATTTTTTATCAATTTTTCATTCACATTTGATGTAATTTTTTATTCGATGTCGAAGATGCTTTAAGTGATTGTTTAGGATGATCTAGACAAGTGTATTTATTTATTTTTTATTATAAAAAATATATATACAAAAAAATAAAGAGGTGATTTGACCTTAAAAAGATAAACAATATGATATTTTAGTATATTTCAAACAAGTTTAAACCTTTGTGGTTTATAGATTAAATTAAAGGGATGTAAGAAAAATCGAAAAAAACAGATCAAACAGGTTAAATTAAAACAAACCGACTATATTTGGTCGGTTTTTTTAATATGAATCAGTCTGTGCGATTTTTAAAATTAATTTTTTTCAATTTTTGATTTGGTACCAATTTAGGCACTTTGTGCACCAAATTAAACAAAAAACGATAGGAAGTTTTGCATATTAACCATACTAATATATGTTAATTGTTTATTTTTTCTTAAATATTTCAGGTTTGACAATAGATATTGGCAATGTGAGAAGTTGTTAGTTTGTCACTCATGTATACTTGAGTCAAGTTTTGCTACTATTATGCCTATATAGTTATATTAAATGTTTATATCGTCTCAATTTTTTGTTTTAGCTATACTTGATAAACTTGTGATTTAATCTTATAGGGCGATAGCTTTAAATTTTGGTTTTGCTTTAGTATCAAGACTTTGGTTTTCAAATTATATTTTGTTTCTAATTCTATTTCAATAAAAACTTAAACACTTGGTATTTATTAATTCTTTAGTTTGTGTTTTTGTGAATGGTTAGATTGGATATTGAAGTAATGCATAAATAGGTAATTCAATATTTTTATATAAATTATTTACTGTACTACAAATTTAAGAAGTAACTACAATTTGGAAGGTTGTAAATCAAAAACTGCATCGAGCCGAATCGTTTGAATTAGTCCAGTTGGGTGCGGTTTAATGAAAATTTCGATTTCTATCGATTCTCAATATAATAAAACCGACATTATCGGTTCGGTATAAAATTTCACCTAAACATCGATTGTCTCAAACCGATTACATCCCAACTAAAGTATATCTACAAATTTAAAAATGGCAAAAAACAAAGAAAAAATTCAATTAAAAAAAGGGGATAAATTATAAATATATTTATTGAAATTTGCTTAAAATACGGTTTCCTTATTGTGATTTTGGGAATTTATATAATTTCATAACAAACTGTTTCTTTTCTTAATAAATCATCAAATTAATTAATATTTTTTAATGATATCAGTAATTTATTTCAATTAATATTTAAAAAAAAATTATCATTTGTATAAGAGAGCAGTTAGAAATTTTATTTTTTATGTTAATTTTATTGAAAAAATATTATAATAAGAAAGTATTTGTAATTTTTGAAACTATAAAAATAATTTATATTTTAAGTAAATATTAAGAGATCTATTTATATTTTATCCAAAAGAAAAAAAAGAAAGAAGGTTGAATAATAGCTAACAAAAATAAATTCCCAAACCAAATGAAGTTGGGCCAAGAGACATTTATGAGGCTGCATGTAAATGATGCTGGGCCGAGAGACACTTATGAAGCTTTGAGTAAGCTCAAAAACTATGGGCGGACATCTTTATTTCAAAACACAACTCTTCACTTCAAATGAACCTTAAACTTAGAGTTAATTTAGAAAGATGATTAAAAGTCATCTTTTTAACTTTTAATTCATTTTTAGTTGCATCGTTTCTCACATTTTTTATATATTTTTTTCAAAAAATCAAAATCAAAAAATTAATTTTTAACTATCTTTCCAAAATAACCCTTACCCACAACCACCACGACGATATGAGATAAGACTAAACATCATTACAAAAATTCATAGCCCATGTTCCGACCCAAACCAAGCCCAGCCAGATCCATGATCTTTAGCCCAAGCTCGAGGACGGCATAAAAATTCAAAAATCGAGTTTCATATTTCCTGAACATTTTTTACATTGATAAAATAAAATAAAATATATTAAATTTTCAAATCAAACTTAGACTTGGTTTGGAATAGCCTACAAAAGTAAAAAAATCAAAAAATTCATACTATTTTAGGGAAGCAAGCTTAGAAGGCAAAATTATTATTTTTTCATTTGAATTCAACTACTTAAAAGTCAAAAAGTCAACAAAGTAGAATGATCATTTTAATTTTACTGTAATATTTTATTATATATCTTTTCATAAAAAGTCAAAAAATTATTCAAAATATATATATTTTTCTCTACATTTTTAGCTAAAATATTCAACTCGTCCGTTACAAATGTGTAAGTTTCGACCAAGCTCACGAGTGGTTGGTTGTGGGCTTATCTAAAACACTCTCCAACATAGTGGCAATAATGCCGAGTTTGTTTGAACTTTTTTGAGTTAATTTATAATTTTTAGTTTAAAAAAAATTATTTTGAACTGTTTAGTTAAATTTATTTTAAATAGTTTCTAATTCTAATAACTTATTTAATTATAAAAAATTTATTCTGAGAAACTGCTTACCCCTTACTTTTAATTATCAGCTTGTGCTGTGGACATGTTAATTTACGGTTATGCTCTTAGATTTTTTTTATCTTTTATTTTTTTAAAATAGAAAAAGACCTAAATAGATTATAAATTATTATTTTTTTTTTATGAGAAATATACACAAGTAGTGAATAACAAAAAAATAAAAATTAATTAAAAAAATTTCTTTACAGCTTATTTAACAAAAACTATTCAACAACTTAAATTTATAATATAATTACACCAAACAAATTAATAATTTCTGATTAAAATCATAATTTTTAATTTATTAAATTATAATCTATAATTTATTTTAATAATTACGACAAACGAGCACAATCACAGATGAGATGAAAGGAATCAAATGTTGCTTGTGACTAGGGCAAGGCAGCCCACTCCACAAAAAGACTACCCTGACAATATATCTATTTATTTGAACTTTGCACCCATTCCCAGCTATAAGAAGGCCATATGAGGTTCCACAGGGGTCCACTCCGCCTAACTGCCAACCAACCAGTTACGGAAATCACCTGCCACACTCACAAGCACACAAAAGGATGAGTTATAAATAAACAAGTTTTCTTGCAAAATATTCCCTTGGCCTTTTTTTTTTTTTCTTCATATTTTTTTTGCTTCATATTTTAATTAATTTTTTTTAAAAAATATTTAATTTAGATGCATTTTAGAAAGTTTCCTCTCCCCCCCAAATCCAAATATATTTCTCTAGTTAGGGAGAAATAGTAAAAAATAACCCCCCAAAAAAAACAATTAGAGGTTGAGGCTCCAAAATTATTGATGGTGCTAAAATTGGGCCATAGAACTTGATGACAATCAAATTTGTATAATTCCAATATGATTCGATAACTTGCAAGAGAATGAGTCTTCGGGGGCATCTATGTCTATGTGATGTCAGTCAAAGACCATCCGATACCTTAGTTAGAGGTGTAGATGTAGAGAGAGAGAGTAGAAATGAAGGGCTTATAATTTTGGGTATGTGGGGATATATTTTTAGGGTTGTTCACGTAGTTGAGGTGGTTGTCGAAGTGCCACATGGATGAGTCATGTTGCCGAGATTAGTGTGGTGTAGTCGATATGTGATACGGCAATATCGGAATCTAAGATATTCTAATAGAGGATAAGAATTCTTGATAGTTTGAGGCTTTCTGTTTGGATAGAGATGAGACTCTTTAGGGAGTTCATTCTTCGACAATGTTACGTAGCTCAAATTTTGTGGCTCAAAAGTGGCTCAAATGACCAAAACGACGTCATTTTGAGTACAGAACAACATAAAAATGGCCAAAACGACGTCGTTTTGGCCATTTGAGTCACAAAATTTGAGTTACGAGACATTTTCCTTCATTCTTATCTTATAGAGTAGTTCAATATGAATGTGATCCTAACAAAGGGATAGAGTCCTTATCTTATAGAGTAGTTCAATATGAATGTGATCCTAACAAAGGGATAGAGTCCTATGAAATGACACTTCTAGAATATGAAGGCACGGATCATTAGTAAGTAATCTTTGTAGGTCTAAGGTACGCTTCAATTGAGAGTTGTTTTACTTGAGTTGATATCTTGTGAGATTCATAATTGACTTAATCGTCAGAGTGCTCTCGAGTAGACGAGCTACAATAGTATTTGTTATATTCTTGTGCTTAAGTATTGAGTTTAATCTATTCTGTCGTATGCTCTCTAGCTAAACTCTTTAGATCTCGATTAGGAAATCTAATTTAGTTGTAAAATCAAAATTCAACACCCACAAGATGCATACCTTGACATTTTTATAGAAAGTTTTTATCTTGAACCATTAATGCCAGTGAGCCTCAATCTTGCTAGAGCATAGACCATATAAGTTGATCTACTAAACATGAACCTTAACTTATCTCGTACATAGCCTCGGTAAAAAGAGAAGAATGATAAAGGGCATATAACTCACTTCCAATATACCAAAATTCCTTTGTTGGATTGTCCATTGTGATTAGTGTTCCACGCCCCTCTTTTTATATGAGATGAAAAGCTTCAATTGGTCTAGCACAACACTTTCTAAAATTTCACATATACATAATTCCTTGCAAATCACATATATAAATTAACCGAGTGTATTTCGTTGTAAAAATGAAACCTCAAATTAAAAAAAGAAAAAGAAAAAGAAAAAGAAAAAGAAAAAGAAAAAAGGATTTAATGCTGAATCCTTAACCAATGAAGCCATATCCAACCACCAAACCTATCTTTCAACAGAAAGTAACCACTACCAACACTAGTAGCAGTTAATACATACGAACTGGCGCACCAAAAAGCCACACACACACCCCGATGAAAGATAGAATGGTTGAGTGAGCAGCGGCAGTAGTGGTAGTGGCCTCACATTTCCATTGCATGTGAATTATTAACTGATACTGCCAGTGGTGTCGGCGCTCATTCGCTCCCTCCCCCAATTCATTTATCAACACAAAAATTAATTACAATATTTGAAACATAATAATACATACAAAGAAATAAAATTTTGCATAATTTCTTAAAAAAATTTATATTTTATTTGGTGTGAATACTGTCACATTCTTTTTTTTGGTAATGCTCTTCCCCTCATGGAACAATTACATCATATAATTGTTAAATGGTATAAAATTATTCAACATCACTAAGGGTGTGTTTGGTAACGTTTACGTTTTCAGTTTATATTTACAAAAATTTTATAAACTGATTTTTGTTTATTTTTTGTTTATTTTTAGAAAAACATAAACTACAAACGCGTTTGGTAATTGACAAAATATTTAAAAAATTTTAAAAATATAAAAAAGAGTGAGAAATGGCAAGTGGCGGCGGAAGACGGTGGTGGAAAAAAAAATTTTGAGAAAAATTCTCTACAAATAAGTTTTCAAAAGTAATCAACCAAACAAATTTTTTCAATTTTTTTTTCAAAACTTGTTTGGTTTACAAGTTTTCTAAACAGATCTCTCTCTCATACACATCAAATCAATCACTTTTTCCAAAACTCTCTCTCAAAATAATTTTTCAAAACATCTTTTGAAAAAAAATCAAACCAAACAAATTTTCGTACTTTTTATCTCAAAACATATTTCTCAAATACAAACCAAACAAGCCCAAAATTTTGCATAATTTCTTAAAAAAATTTATATTTTATTTGGTGTGAATACTGTCACATTCTTTTTTTTGGTAATGCTCTTCCCCTCATGGAACAATTACATCAAATAATTGTTAAATGGTATAAAATTATTCAACATCAGTGTTTGGTAACGTTTACGTTTTCAGTTTATATTTACAAAAATTTTATAAACTGATTTTTGTTTATTTTTAGAAAAACATAAACTACAAACGCGTTTGGTAATTGACAAAATATTTAAAAAAAATAAAAAAGTGTGAGAAATGACAAGTGGTGGTAAGTGGCGGCGGAAAAAAGTGGTGATCGTAAGTAGTGGGTAGCAGGTGGTGGTGGATAGGTGGGTGACGGTGGTGGGTGGTGGTGGTAGTGGGTGGGTGGCGGATGGTAGGTGGATGGTGGTGCGCGGGTAGGTGGCGGGTGGTAGTGGTGGTGGTGGTGGCGGGTGGGTGGCGGATGGCGGGTGATAGTGGGTGGTGATGGTGGATGGGTGACGGTGGCGGGTGATGGGTGGTA